TCTGGTTCTTGGCGAAAGATCTTTAAAATGATCTCTATGCAACTGGGCCTGACCAATTAAGCGTAAATTAATTCACTGCCACAAGATCTGCAGAAATCGGCGAATAAATAAATGTCTGGGGTGTGTCAGAGTCAGAGACCCTCGAGAAGTTTCCAGAGACAAAAGAATCTTTTGAATGAATAATATATAAATGTGCTCATAAAAACAACGAAACAAATGAAACTACAAAGTGGGTGTAATATAACATTCCTCATTCCTTCGGCAGATTCCCGCCTGTCTGAAGGGTTTTTCTTCCCCGCGTTCATTAATCAAAGGACATGCTAAAACCGAAATTGATTTAATTTGTGCAAAATCCCGGGGAATTGCAACCCTCAGTCTGAGAGGCTTCCATAGCTGGTGGTGGTTGCAGTGGCTGCCTGAAAATCCCCTGCAGGCCAAAAGTGGAGTAGCAAATTCACTTTCACAAATCTGAGCTCCTGCTCCAGATCCAAAGGCCTTCGGCGACCAGACCAGTGCATTTCCAAATGCAGCAACGACACATGAGCAACCCTTGCGCAAAGCAATTGCCTTGCTTTTAATCCTTGGGGGATTTCCTTTTTTGTTGCAAACGGGGGTGGCGTCTGTATGATTTTCAAGGTCCAAAAGTCAGCCGACAAGGGCAGTTTTGCCTTTGCATTCTGTGTGCCCTGACATCGAGGCATCGGCATGCAGGTGGTAGCAGCGGCAGCGGCGGGTTAATCGCATAATTGAGCAGCCCAGGAGCAGGCGACACACACTCATCAGTGATTCACAGCCAGGCGAGCGATACGTCTGGCTGCAACAAAGGAATAACACACCCTGTTCAAGTCTCACAAAGAAATCGCCATGGAACGTGTGAAGCCTGCCGATTATTGTGGTGGATACAGCCCACAATGCAAATATGTATGCACAACTTATAAATACATTGGATCGGATCCGAGATGCGAGATTCGAGATCCGAGGCTCTCGCTCTGTGTGGGAGCAATTCATTTAACCCGAGCTGCAGCAGCTGGCGAAACTGCAAATTGCTGGCAACACAAAGAGCGAGGCTGAGAAGAGAAAATTGGCTGAAAGGTTTTCCATCAGCGGCGCTGCTGAGTCAGGGATCCGCGTCCCTGGCTTCGGCAGTAAATTCATAACCAAAGGGAGTTGGTTGGGGCCAGCTGATACATATACACTTGCGGTTGGAATAATAGCGCAGCTAATTGAACTTGCACCATCCAGGTTCTTAATTTCACACCCGGAAGATTTCTTCTTAAATTAAATGATAAGTAACCATTCTACTTGGAAGAACTATTTACCAAGGCAATAAACCTGTACAATAATATATAAAATAATTCATATCACCACAATTTAGATTTTAAAAAAATGTAAATAATGCCCAAGAGCTATGGCTAAAAAAAAATTGGTTCGAGGCAATTTGTAATTTCCTCAGAACCAAAAAATAAATAAATAAATAAATAGATAAATACTAGGAAAAACTCCTGCGTGGTGATATTTAAAACAGGGAAGTTAACAAGTATTTTTAACAGCTCTTTGTGATTATCAATCATTATTAACAAACCACTTTTACTGCGAACTAGTTTAGACCTGCTATTTTTGTGGCCGCCCCTGTGGAGACAAACAGAGGGCGTTGAGAAAACCCATAATGGTAATCGCCCATGTACAACAACAGCCAGAAGGCAGCAGACTCGACGCAAACAGATCGTTCTGCAAATGGCAAGCTGATGCAGATAGCTATGCAAAACGGGTAATCCAAACGGCCGGCCTTATAAGGCGGCCAATGGTCCAAGCCAACGAGAAAGAGTCGCGTTATTATTACTTAACAACAATTACCGAAAGTGAGCTCGAGTGTCTGTGTGTCTTTGGCTTTGTGTGCCCAATTATAGAGGAAATGTTGCCGAAATTGTCACTCAATGACTGTCGACTTCCTTGGCGCAGATAGAAGATACACAGAAAACCCAGCTGTCTGCTCAGTGGAGCGTTTAGTATTGGCCCCGCACAAACAGCCTTGAGATCCGATGGGGTTTATGTACTGGAACTACGGCCAAATAAGGACATCGCAGTGACGTAAACATAGACTTACCTGCAAAGAGATAGAGAGCAAACAAAAAGTCAGTTAGTTAGTCTGTTCTAGTTCTTCATTAATCATCTATAAATTGGTCTGCCTTTCGGGCATGACTCACGGCTGAAAAATGAAGATCTCCCCCCGGTGAACAGGAAACGTGACTCGCTAGGGCTTCCCTAATTTACTCAAAAAAACCATTTATCTACCGGGCCCACCCTGACCAACATCAAGAGCCAAATGCATTTGGAAAGCGGCCGGGAAATGGAATTGCCGCAGATACCGAGGACATGACAGATATGTCCTACTATGGCCTCTGTCGGGGTTGCTTATCGTGGGTTGCATGCGTCAGTGACAGACTAAACTCTAAAACTCCTCCTCTGGCAGTACACTCGAAAAAACTATTTATAACCCATTAAATGTATTAATTTTTGATACTTTTCTGCCATTTCAGTGACTTGTATATTAGTATATCTGTAAAAATTCGAATTTTCTTTGGTTAATAAATTTTTCCAGTGCACTTTTCCTATGTCGGATTAATGTGGGCCCGTCTGTCTGCATTTTGGGTGCGGCTAGGCTGGCAGGCTGACAGACTGGCTGCATTCTCCGTTTGTGCGGCTTTCTCTGGAGGTTCTGCCGGGAATTAGACCCATTGACTCATTCTAGGGCTGCGCCCAATCCCGAACTCAGAACCCAAACCTAAACCCACTGCTGGCCAAACTAGTCGCGGCTAGGCAATCAAAATCGACATTTAGTTTTATGGCGAGTCAAACAACAAGAACAAGAACAACAACAACGAACATGCAATGTGTCCCGAGTTCAATGCACTTGCCACTCAGCCTCAAACTCTGCTGCAGTGGCTCTTGGCCAGATACACAGGCCATAATACTAGCGTAGATCGCGTGACTATAGTTAAATATAGTTAAGCACCGAGAGTATGGCACGTGACGATATTGGGCCAGAAAGTATCCCCCATAAATTGTGGAAATGGTGGGATATGGGATATACCGGGAAAACTACAATTTGGTAGGACTGTTGGGTAGGAGTGTGCCCTTAATCACTGGCCACCACTGTGGGCAAAAGGGAGCAAAGAAGAAACGAGAACGCCATCGATTTCGGTTGCAATTACTCATCATCTATCGCGGCAATTACCCGTATTATGATGATAAGTGCGAATCGAAACAGCTGCAGGCAGATTTCCGAGTGACTCAAGGAGGCGATTTGGAGCAGTGTTCGCATACTTGGCTACTTCTCCCGTGGAATCCGGAAATCTGGCAAAGGTCAAGAACGGGAAAGCTGACGAGTGTTCAGAAATAGCCAGGGAATCGGTCTCCAATAGGGGAATTTACCGTTTAAAATTAGTTTATTGCTTGGGTACATAAAGCACTATCATAAACTAGATATTTTTGAGCTCTTTATCACTATTAATAAACCATGGAAAATGGTCTATAAAATTATTCATTTAAAATCTACTGCTGCTAAATTTTGAGAAAGACTTGTATGTCGTGAATTATTACTAGAAAACAGTGCTTGTTTATAAGAAACGTCTAGCACTCCTTGTACGCCTTATTGATGGTAACCTAATACTATAATTTGAAGTAATTAGGTAGAAATTAAAAAACTTGAAAAATAGATTCTTTACCTAATTTCTAGAATTTTCAAGACTCATTTTTCAGTAGACCACATTTTCGACAGTGGCCCGTACAGTTTTCCATCCGCTTTTCGCCTACTTCAGCTATTTTGTTAGTCGGCAGCTCTACAATGGAGTGATGACCAATTTGAAAACTGGCACAGAGAACGAAAACACAAAAACAAGCGCCACCTCGATTGCAGTCATAAAGGCGATAGAGATAGCAGGGGTGCGGGGCGGGGGGTGGGTTAGGGTCGAGATGTCCATCGGGTGATAGCTATGCTACATATATAATGTTATTGGGGGCGGGGGAGGGAAACTGGCACACTTGCTGACATTGCAGTGTGCACTTAACTAGAACCACCACTGTGCAGCACACTCACACAACCGCACAAACATATGCCTGTGCATGAACCAACTACTCAAAACGGTCAATTTTCCCGAGTTGCAGCTGAAGTAAAGTCCTATTGTCGGCGGGGTTGCCTACATATATCAAATATCGGTTGTTAAGGGCGTTTTCTGACGGGCCCATAACAATCAGGAAGTGGAATTTCCAAATCGAATGCGAATAATACCCGGCGATCCAAAAGAACAGTTAACTGTTAACCCATTAAAAGATCAATACACGCATAGTGCGAAATGTGAGGGGAAAGGGGAGAGCGGAGGAGAAGGAATTCGAAACGGAAACGAGGAATAGAATTGCCGGAGGAAGCAAACAAAAAAGCAACGGAACGATAAAAAAACATAAAATAAGGAGGAAGCAAATCTGCAAATCCCCACCAATACCACTGCACCGCCCACACACACACGCGTGGATTATTTAAAAAAATGCCGGCAACCGCCTGGTACTTCGATTACTTACTTGCTGCTGGCCTGATTATCGGTGCAATCAAAGTTGGAGATCATCTTGCTGTGTTAGACGTGAATTGACGCTGGTTAACGATTAACTGGAGAACTGGCACACACGCAACAAAGTGAACACACAAAATGCAGTGGAAATGCACGGAAAAAGAGCTGATGCCGCGACACGTTCGTACAGTTCGAAATGCGAATTAAATTTAAATGTGGCAGTGGCTGAGGGGGTTAATTAATACTTGGTTCAGTGTGGCAGTTGCATGGTTGAGTAAAATAAACGCATTATTTGGCGGCTTTTTCTGGCTTTTTTGGTTCATGTCTCAGCTAAGTCTGGTTTCCAACCAACTCCAGATGGCGCTTTATTAGGAAAGTGTCTCTGCTAGCAGAGAAATATCGATTTAAAGTAATCGTTTTTTGCACATCACTATCCAAGTTTTTGTTTACATCCCATTCAATTTGATTGCGAAAACCTTGATTTTCATCGCCTTTCTGTCCACTGCTGGCCAGGATGAATGCGTTCAGCTCAACGGCGGTACTGATGAAGTGCCGAATCTGCCTGGGCGACTCCGAGGAGGGCACAATGAGCTCTCTGTTCGAAGGAGAGGAGCCCCTGAACGAGAAGGTCGAGTTTTGCTGTGGGATTAAGGTGGGTTTTTAGGAGAAGTTATGCATGACACTTTAGTCTGAATATCCCTACAGGTTCGCCTATCCCCTAGTATACCCGGAAAGGCCTGCAGCAGCTGTAGAGAATTCGTGCAAATGTGGTTCAACTTCCGCCAGATGTGCCTCAACTCGCAGATTTACTGGGAAACCAGTTGTCCGGACTCGGAGAGACCGGAGGAGCTGACACAGGCCAGCGATGGCGAGTACATGGAGTACCTTTATGATAAACTGCAGGTGAATTTGGGCCACGAGAATAACTATCAAGAGATTAGCCAAACGGTGGAGGAGGAGGAGGATGAGCAGCTGGAGGATCAATCACAGGAAGTTCTCGAGGTCAACGGATTCATCGGAAACGAACCGATCGAGGAGGAGGAGGATGAGCCCATCAAGGAGAGTCCTGAAATATTGATTTCCCACTTTGACTCCTATGTAAACGATCCTGAGCTGGAGGAAATCATTGAAGATAAGGGCGAGCTCGTCGAGGATTCTTGCCTTCTAGGCGGCGAGTACTATGAGGTGGACTACGAGCAGGAGGACCTCAACGAAGAGGAATATCTTTCGCCCACTCCCATCTCCAAGAGGGACAAACGCAAGCCAGGAAGGCCCCGCAAACCGGACAGCGAACTCAAGTTCAAGCGCAAGGATATCCAGTCCAAAAGAAAACCGATTAAGGATAAGACCAAGGACGAGGATAAGTTTATGTGCAATCTGTGCGGCAACGTGTACTACAAGAAATCCGTTTTCACCGCTCACATGATGACCCACACGGAATATAAGCCTCACCAATGCGAGTAAGTAAATAAAGAAAAATTCTATGTCTCTATAGTAAATACGTATAATTTCATTGCAGAATCTGCACCAAATCCTTTCGACAAATGGGCGAGTTGCGGGCCCACATACGTCGTCACACGGGCGAGCGTCCCTACAAGTGTATGTACTGCGAGCGGCACTTCTACGACCGCAGCGAACGGGTTCGCCACGAGCGAGTGCACACCAATACGCGTCCTTACGCCTGCCAGGAGTGCGGCAAGACCTTCACGCACACGGCCATCCTCAAGAACCACATCCTGTCTCATTCCGCCGAGAAGAATTACAAGTAAAGCAGATAGTTTATATAAAGGAAAGCCAATTTCTAACGATCTCCGTTTCTTTATAGCTGTGACACATGCTCCAAGTCATTTACTTTGCTGCACCAGTTGAAGGCACACCTGCAAACGGTCACGCACCGCAACAAAATGGAGCAAGCCATTCCCAGATCCGCCGACTTTATGCAAAGTTAATGCGCTCTAATAGTTTTCCTAATTTTAGTTAGCTAGTTTAAGACAAAGAAAACCCACGTCTGTTACAAATTATCATTTGTATTTGTTAGCTACTCCATCATTTCGCCATACTCCTTGGCCAGCGATACGCCCATGAGGTGCGCATGCGTCTTCTCGTGCGCCGCGAGCTGGTGCTTCAGGCGGAAGTCCTTGTCGCAGATGAGGCACTTGTGTGGCTTATCAGACGAATGGAGGAGGTAGTGAGCCTTGCGTGAGGTAGACAGCGAAAAGGTTTTCCCGCAGATTTCGCAGGCATATGGTTTCTCATTTGTGTGCATACTGAAATGGAGAGAATTAAAATTAGGATATTATTAGCATAATTACATTTACAAAATGGTTAAAAGCTAGCAACTAATAGCTTGTTGTTTCAGAATAAAAAGTGAGGAAACTAAAATCATACCGTTCGTGTTTGCGAAAAGTGCTGGAATCAGCAAAGCGGCGTGGGCAGTAGGCGCATTTGTAGGGCTTTTCGCCCGTGTGGGTTCGCATATGAGTTTTCAGGTTGCAGGCGGCTCTGAATGTCTTTTGGCACACCCTAAAATATTACTATTATTTGTGAATCCCTCTTGTAAGAGATATATGTAGTAGTCAGAAAGGATACTTACTCGCACTCGTGGGGTTTTTCACTGCGATGCACCTGCATGTGTGCATTTAGTAGAGAGATACGTGAGTAGGTGTTGCTGCAGACCTTGCATCTGTACTTGTCCGGCACGCAGGCCACGGCTAAATCTACATTGTATCCACTGGTAGGCACCGATATCTGGGACTCCTCGCCGTCTAAAATTGTGCCTTCCAGGGATGAGGTATCAAAATCGTCATTGGTCTCCCTCTCCAAATCACTCAGGGTGTATTCCTCCTGACTGGTGTTTTTGTCGTTGTCACCATTGGCCTTTAAAACATACACGAAATCGCCTGGTTCCTGTGGGGACACAGATTTCTTTCTATTTATTGGTTTGCCAGTCGTTGCTTGAGATGTGGGCACTGGACTCTCATCGATGCCTATGACTAGGGGCTGCTCCTGCACGGATCTGCCTGAAATGTTCTGCTTCCTGGCTCGCTTTCTCTGACCAGCCGGCTCATCCCTGTTCTGCGCAGGCTGAAAGGCCACCGCCGAGGACATTGTTTGGCGGACGAGGTTCCGCAGGTGCTCGTCGGATCGCTTGCATTGGCTGAGGAATTGCTCCACCTCCTCCAGCTTGTCCAAGCAATCGGAGCAAATCTGATCTGGCAAACCATCATCCGGTTGCACCTAGCAAAAGGAGTATTAAATGATGTACAAAACTAAATTACCGCGTACTCACAACTAAATCTGCATAAGAGACCAGCAGCTTGTGGGCATCCGATTGGAAGAGCGACTGCAGCGAAATGCCGTCTCCCTTTTTGCGGCAAGTGCGGCACATGCTCCATTTAATGCTGATTTCCATAGTTGCAGTTACTTCAGGAATTTTTCTTCTCAATTGACAAATTTCAATTCAAATACCAGAGCTGTGCATTAAAAAATTACTAGGGCTGTCAAGTACTCGTGGGTCGTGCGATAGTTGTCTCAACTATCGTTCAGAATTTTTTTAAATTCTCTGAATAAAAAAATTATTAAATTAAATTATTAATTAAATTTATTAAAAAATATATCCCTTTATTCAAAATATTATAAAATTCCTTATTACAAATTAAAAATCCTCGTCAACTATCGATATGCCGATAGGCACGTCGATTGCCACACAACCCAGCCCTGACAACCCTGGGAAAAGTTCCAAGACGCTGTCTTGTTTATTTCAGAATTGCAACATACGGACGGCCAGGACGAGCGAAATCATGCCCGAGTACATGCTGTGCAGGATCTGCTTGACAGAGGACATCAACTCGGAGGCGATGGCGCCCCTGTTCGATGACGAGGACGCCCAGTGCCGGGAGCTGGTGCGCAAGATTGAGGAAGTGGGCAGCATCAAGGTACATGTGGAATGTGGAGGCACCTGTGGTCCTTGGGCTAATCCCGACCTGATTTTTCAGCTGGTGCCGCTGCAGAACATTCCGAGCATGCTGTGCTACAGCTGCGTGGAGCAGCTGACCAGCGCCCACAAGTTCCGGGAGCTTTGCCAGGAGAGCGAGCGGACGTTTGCCACGAATGTGGTCAAGGTTAGTGGGACATCTAATGCACACCCTCCATACAACTACAAGTTTATAAACCTTGCCAGGCCGAGATGAAGTCGGAGCCCACGGACGAAGTGGCACATATAGTGGCGGATCACATCGAGTATATCTACGAGTCGGCCAACGACTTCATAGACGGCGTGGAGGAGGACATCGAAATGGAGAACATGCTGGAGGAGCGCCTGGAGGACGGCATTGCGGACACAACCGAGTCCTTCGAGATTAACACGGTGGTGGACGAACTGGACGAGAACGAGCTGCTGGTGGCGAATAGCGCCGATAGCGACTACGAGCCCAGCGAGCGCTGCCGCAAACCCAAGGTGCGGAAGTCGCGGCTGGGTAAACGTGGACGTGGACGACCCCGTGGCTCTGGTTCCGGGCATCCACGCAGTCCCAGCCGCGAGCGACCGACTGTGCACTCCAGCTGCAAGTCCTCGCCCGAGGAGTCCTCCACGAACATTATGTGCGAGATCTGTGGCAATATCTACTCTAAGCGAGCGGCGCTCAACATTCATATGCGCCGTCACATGGCCGACAAGCCTTTCGAATGCGAGTGAGTAGCTGAAAAGGGTACTTTATATATTATTTATTGTATTTCCGTAAATGTTAATCCCCTGCAGAATCTGCGGCAAAACCTTTGCGGGTCCTTCCGAGCTAAATCGTCATATACGAGTGCATACAGGCGAGAAGCCCTTCACGTGTAAATACTGCAATCGCTCGTTTGCGGACCGCAGCTCCAACATTCGGCATGAAAGGTAAAGCTACCAAGCCTCAAGAGATGCTCATTAATAACTTACATGACTCCCCTTGCAGAACTCACACGAACGAGCGACCCTTCACTTGTTCCACCTGCGGCAAGGCCTTCTCCTACTCCAATGTGCTAAAGAACCACATGCTCACCCACACGGGCGAGAAACCCTTCCTGTAGGTTAATCTTGAGCTTCAACAAACATAGATAATCATTATTTTATGGCATTTTCAGTTGCCGGCCGTGCAATAAAACCTTCTCCCGCAAGCACCAACTGGAGCAGCATATCGGCACTATGACCCACCAGCAGACTGTTAGGAATCACCAGACTAACGACCATCAGCGGCACTCAGAGATCTACTAGTCTTAAATCCTGCAATTAACGTTTTCCTAGATAAATATATAATTTAACTATAAATAGATATTGTAAAATAAAAAGAGTACAAATGGTCCGAGCCGGATGTGTGAAATATGATGAGTTTGGAATATTACTGCGGAAAAAAAACACATTTTTAGAAGCACATTAATAGTTTTATTAAAATTCGTAGCTTTGCAAATTATACTTGCGTTGTCTTAAAATCAATAAACGTCAATATTCATTGTATTTTGGAAGGCGTTTAATAGGCACCCTCATCAATTAAAAGATTTAGGTGTATTCAAAAATACATACATATTCAAAGCTGGAGTTTGACCAAAAACCTTTGTTTATGGCCTTTAATTAGTAACTATAACAACAATAAATTCCATAAAAAGTTCGATTTAGAATGACACTGGAATAAGTATGTAATTAAAGTTAATACTCTTTGTGCTTTAATAGAAGACAGTTTGTGCAAGGCGGGAGGGATTCAGTTGTTTCTTAGTTTTTTGTGCTCATTTTTTAATGGAAGCTATAATTTGACAAAAACTCGACTCTTTTGAACATCAATAAATGCCATTTAACAATGGATTAGGAATGGCACTGGATTAAGTATACATACTTGTAGTTTTAGTTTCATAACTCATACAGGTTCTTACCAATAGATAATATAAATAATGACTAGGTAGACGGTGTAACTAAACATTAAAGAGGTCAGCTGCCTGAGCTGCCGCTGCCTCCTCGGCTTTTTCCTTATGAATACTGGTAGACAAGTGGGTCATCAGATGGGAGATCCGTTGGAAGTGCTGGTGGCAAACGTAGCAGCTAAAAGATCAAAGGGTGTGGAAATATGTAAAATGTGCGTAGAGTTGGCCCAAATCGAGATGCCCACTAGTGCTTCCGTACGGCGTCATGGGTCATCTTGTGCTTGCTGAGACATCCGGAGCTGACGAAACTCTTCTCGCAAATGTCGCACTGGAAGCGGCGATCGTTCCGATGGCGTCGATGGTGCTCCTGACGGGCACTCGTGTCGGAGAAGCGACGTGGACAGTAGATGCACACGTAGGGCTGCTCGCCCGTGTGACTACGGGTGTGGCGCGTTAGTTCCTTCCGTGTGGCAAAGCTTTTTCCGCACTCCCTATTAAAAAGAAGTCAGTATCTTAAGGATATATTATAGAAAATATCTACTTTACCCAAAATCGCAGTGGAAATCCTTGATGCCAGTGTGCCGTAGCTTGTGTTCCAGAAAGTTTGTCTTGGAGTTGATGGATTTGCCGCAATCCTCGCAGACATAAGGACCAGTCCTCCTTGAACGTTTGGGTGGCTGGGCTTTTGGAGCGGTCTTTGGAATATTTTCGACTTCCGGAGTTAAAATGGACTCGTCCAATTCAAGCTCGACTTGGTCATCATCAATGTATTCATAGCAAATGGGTTCCTGTGGCAGGTCCTTGCCGGTGGAGGTGGACTCAATCCTCTCCTGGTTCTGCTTCTCGGAAATGATGCATCGCTGGCGGAACTTAATGGCTGCCTGCAGGTCACCCAAGCACACCATGCACATGTTGTTGGATATTTCCTTCTTGCAACTTAGCTGGGGTGGTAAAAATAGCTTTATAAGTGCCTTGATTTTGATCCGATTAATAATTATGTGTATTTTTAGCCCATTACCTCGACTCCAGTTATGGAAAGAATTTGGCGAATCAGGTGACCATTTGCTGGGTCAAAAAGATTAATTGGAGCCTCGTTTGCAGAGCAAAGGCGGCAACTTAGAACTCGCATCCTGCCTTTTGTGCTATTAAAAATAAGAATTGTTTATTTTATTGTTTACTTTCGATGCCAAAAAGTTTGTGGGCGCGGTATGTGCACGGTCCCTCTAATTTCGCGAACATGAGCGTTGTGCGAAGCTTTTGTGAGGGGATCAAACTATTTTAATGCCTTAATTTTTTTTTTAATTAAAATAATTTACAAAATCAGGACTATTTTTCAGACGTCTTATTTGAAACCCCCTCTTTGGTTTTTTAGGTCCTCTAGATGTTTTAAAACCCCCTTTCTACCCCCATGCCCCTACCAAAGTTATCGATAACGACGATAACAAAGCAGCTGTTTCACATACATACAAACATATATATGCGTTTGCCAAACAATTGGTTGTTTATATTCAAATTAAACTTAAATTTGACACATTTTCAATAAACATAATGACGCTTCAGTGCCGGACCTGCGGAACCGTCATCTACAACACAAAGGCCAAGAATCTCTTCCACATCGAGAACGCCAAGATGCTGCTAAACATCAGTCTCATATCTGGCGCCATGGTAAAATCGTATAAAAACTTGTTTTCTTTTTATAGTAACTTATATATATCCTGTAATTGCAGCTTCACAATGATCCAGAACTGCCCAGTTGCATTTGCGCCTGCTGCATGCTCGATTTAAACCAGGCAATTGTATTCCGGGAACGCTGCCTTCAAACGCAGGAGGATCTCGTCCAGCAACTCACTTCTCTGGAACAGGAACAGCAAGTCCCGGATCACGATGTAGAAATCAAGGAAGAAGATGATGTGGGCAAGCTGGCCTTACCTTTGCCACCCAATCAGTTGGACGATCCGTTCGAGGAGGTCGATGAATATGAATACTTTGAAGAAGAGGAATTTCAAGATGCCGATGGTGCTGAAGAGGAGACGAATCACGTTGAGGTGGGCGAGGAGGTGACGCACGATGCCGAATCCTTGGTCTCCAGTGTCCAGAAGGAGTTCGAGAGCATTTACAACGACGAGAACACCGATGACGACAACAAGGAATTCATCGACGATCCAAACGCTATTTACTATGAGGATGAAAGTGACGGATTCTCTCAAGATTCATCACTGTCCGAGTTGAAGCGCACGCGGGGTCGCTCCAGAGGAGGTAGTGTCTCCATGGAGACGCCCTCCACGATTCCCAAGCGCAAGAAACAGTACGTGACGTGGAAGAACATGACCGAGGAACAGATCATCGAGCGGAAGCGGCAGCAGCGGAAACGCGACTGCGTTTGCGAACAGTGCGGCCGGCACTTCACCGATCAGAGCAACTTCAAGCTGCACATGCTGAGGCACACGGGCATGAAGAACTTCGCCTGCCAGGAGTGCGGCAAACGGTTCTACACCGACCATCTCATGTCGCTGCACCAGCGGATCGTCCACCAGGGCGAGAAGCCCTACGCCTGTCGCTTCTGCACCAAGTCCTTTCACAACAGCACTACTCGAGTAATCCACGAAAGGTGAGGGACACTTTCCTGGTGGTCAAAGCTGTATAAATGATAAAATATACCTTTTCAGGGTTCATACTAATGCCAAACCCTACACCTGCCACCATTGCGACAAGAGCTTTAGCTCGACTTCCGGACGCAAGCGGCACGAACTGATTCACACAGGTGTGCGCGCTTTTTCGTAAGTATTCCTGTAGATTATTTAACGCTCCGAAGTTAATAAATTCCGTTTTGCAGCTGCACAATTTGCGAGCAAACCTTCCAGCGCAACACTCATCTGAAGGCGCACTTGCGATCCAAGTTTCACATTGTAAAGGCGAGAGCGAACGAACTGGAAGAGGTGCTCGAATGAACAATTTTTTTGCCTGAAAAGTGTAGTTAATATTAGTTTTTAACAAGAAAGGAAGCTACCTTCGGCCAGCCGAAGCTTATATACCCTTGTAGATAAAAGAATACTCACTCGGTGCAGTTCCAGGGATTCCAGATTCAGCGTTTCGATTTATTTCAATTTTGTTTTTAAGTAGTCAAGAATCAAAACGCCTACTTCCTACAAAGTTACAATGAATTTTCTTATATTTGTTTGGGAGCCTTAAGATATAGTGGTCCGATCCGGCTGGCTCCGACATATGTACTACCTGCAATAGAAAGAAGGCTTTCGGGAAAGTTTCATCGCGATAGCTTTAAAACTGAGAGACTAGTTCGCATAGAAACGGACAGACGGACAGACGGACAGACGGACAGACGGACATGGCTAGATAGACTCGGCTATTGGTGCTGATCAAGAATATATATACTTTATGTGGTCGGAAACGTCTCCTTCACTGCGTTGCAAACATCTGACTGAAATTATAATACCCTCTACAAGGGTATAAAAATAATTCAAAAATTCTTTTCTTTTGGGCATTGGGTTTTGAAATACTTGAATTACGATAACAGACGCGCCGCGCCCTGTTAAAATATCGATAGCTATACCGACTAGTTTCCGAGGTGGCAACGCTTGAAGACTTTAATTTTCTTCTTGGACGAGAAAAGTTTAATTTTGTAAGTTTTTAAGCTTTTAAAAAGATTGTTTAATAATAATTAAGCAAGAACTTTCTCCTTCTTGTTATTTCTTTTAAAATAAGTGGTATTTTAACAGCTGCCTTTACTTCACTTTCCAGTTGCCACACTTTGGTATATTTTGGCGCTACAGCGACGGTCACACCGCTAAGATTTCGTTTTTTTTTGGACAATTTGACATTTAATTTCTCTTAAGATTTAATTAAAATAAACCACGTTGGTCCCGGTCCAAATTAAAGGTTTTCCAGACGACCCTCGAACGAAGCGAGATTGGCCCCCTGAAAGTGTTCCTTTCCGCCCGATTGCACTGTGCGAAAAAACCGGTTGTTGACCTTCGGCAGCATGGAGCGTCGTCGCTTTAACTTGAGCAGCATGTCGCCCATGGCGGATTCCACGCGGATCGACGCGTCGCTGATGTGAGTGACCACCTGTCTGTCTACTTTGCTTTGTTTCGCATACTAATCCAAGGTGCTTTCTTTTGTACAGAAGCAATCGCCCGTCGTCCGCCAGTTTCTTGAGGGGACTGAGTCCCAAGGGGGGAAACACCACGCTCAATGGAACCCGCACCCCGGAAAGGTCCCTGATGAACCACACGGCCACATCGCCCAGCAGCATCTCGCGACAAAAACTGAACATCAGCCAGTTGGATCCCAGGTAATTACACCATGTGGCGAAATGGTAATTCTTAGAAAGCCTTTGTCTTGTGATGAAGGACCAACAAGCCTTAAAAATGCATAGTTTTTAATATTTATTTTAAATATTTCATATAATAACCACTCTCCGCTTTCCCCCAGAACCTTTGCCGATGTGCACAGCAGTGGACTGGCCTCCCGAATCGTGGCCTACCACGAAAGCAGCCTCGGAGGACGCGGCGGTCTGCAGCGCAGCATGTCCGCCAGCAATCTGTACAACCCACTGACGCAGCCGCGCAGGGCGCCAGCCTCCCCGCTGCCCTACAAATCCCGGGTGCCGGCACTTGCGATGACCCAGATTGCACCGCCCGAGCGCAGCTTCTATTCGGGCAACACGTTGCCCAGCCTGCTGCGCTCCAACTCTCTGGCGGGAGTGGTGAACAGGGCCAGCGAGCAGGAGCAGCTGTCGCGGGAGAACCGACCCATCCTGCACCCGCCGCATCCGCAGCACGAAAGCGAACCAACGAGGAGCGTGCTGGACGAGCTTAAGGAGATCTCCAGGAAGCGCATCAACACCGGTGTAAGTTTGAGCCATCAATCATCCTGTCAAAGGGACACCTGCTTAGGCTTCGCTTGTTTTCAGGATGCGCCTTCGCCGCATGACTTTACGAAGAGGAGTTGCCAGCGCGGCGTGGACTTTGTGGACCATCACCGGCACCAGCAGCTACACCAGTTGCACCAACAGCAAAGTCAGTCCTTTAAAAGACAGCGAGAGCTGACCGTTTCGGTTCCACTCCGGCATCATTCGACCTCTCTGGCGGCTGCTCCGCCTGCCTTGCAGCACATGCACTCCAATGGCAGCATCTCGCCCACTCAGTCGCCGGAGCAGGTGGCCAAACGGCCCAACTGCAGCTACAACAACGACATTGCCTCCTCGCTTAGCTCCAGCCGGCGTCACAGCAACAAGCGGAAGCTGTTCGACATGCGCGAGAGCTTTCAGCAGAGTAAAAACGAGACACTGGGCAGTGGCAGCTCACCGGAGAACTCGCCCGGCGAAAATGTGGCCAAAATTCAGCGTAAAGTGGATGCAGAGTGTGTCAGCAAGGCGATGAGCATGCCAGCCGGTCCATCTGTGCCGGCAGTTCCTGCCTCGCGCACTATTTCAGCCCCTCCTACGCAAAGCATCGAAGTACCGCCTGCGGTGGATAAGCCCAAGCTTACTCTCTTCAACGCCCGACAGTCGCACACGAAGGCGGAACAGCCGCGCCAGGATCTGAACAGCCCCGATGTGGATGCCGGGGAATACGCGGGCATTCAGTTTGTGAAGCCCAAGCAGCAGAATTCCATGCTGGGCGTTAAGAACCCAAGCGTAGAGCGCACGCACAAGACCAAACTGGCGATAATGCTGAGTGGATTGAAGGGCGAACTCTACCAGGGTGAGCCGGATGAACTGGATGCCCCCAAGCCAGCGGCTGCGCCTGCGACTCTTCCAACGCCCATCAAACCCACCATAGCGCCGCCTGTTACTACAACCACAACGACGGCGACTTCTACTGCGACCATGACGACTGCAGCGCCCAGCAAGTCGGTAATACTAAGTAATCAGGTGATAAAGCCACCGGATACGATAAGTACCTCCAATGAAGTGCCCAAACTTCCCGCTGCTGCAGAAGGAGAGGCACCAAAGACCAACGACAAAGTGGAAGCGGCACCACCCAAACCCGTAACACCTACCACATCAGCTCAACCATTGATCACTTTTGGAACACCAAAATCCTCAGCTGCACCTATACTCTCCTTTGGAAATGCCAGCACCACCACTACGACAACCACTACAACTACAACTACCATTAGCACTAGTATGACCACCGCAAAGCCCACATTCTCGTTTGGACAAGCGCCTGCCAATGGAACCGCAGTAGGCGTTGCTCCTGGATTCAAACTGGACGTCCCTGCGCCAACGGCAGCAACTACAACTAACTCGGTGGCGCCGGCCACAACTACAACGACTTTCGGAATGGCTGCTCCGAAGACTATAGCTGCTATTGCTCCTACATCAACGCCATCTATGAGTTTCGTTAAGCCGATTTCCACAGTGACAGCAGCGGCTACCACAAACAGCCCTGCAACATCAACCATATCACCATTTGGAGCAGCACCCGCCGCCAATCCAATCTTTGCCTTCGGACAATCGGGCAATGGTAGCTCAGGAACTCCGACTAGCAGCGCCAGTGGATTAGCTGCTCCCAAGCCAGCAGTATTTAGTTTTGACGGCAACCCAGCTCAGCAGGGCCGAGCAGCAGCAACATCGCTGTTTGGCAACCAAGCTCAAACCACAAACAACTCCTTTGGAGCCGCTTTCAATCAACCCGCGGCCAACAAAACCGAGCCAACCAAGCCGGGCATTTTTGGAAATCCGGACAGCAGCTTTGGTGGCTCTTTTAAGCCGCCAGCAGAAGTTGCCACCACAACTGTCGCTGAGCTCCCGAAGCCTTTCGGGTTTTCAGCCACTACAACCGCAACTAGTGGAGCTCCGGCGGCCACGAATCTCTTTACCTTTGGAGGGGCAGCCACTTCGAAACCAGCAGAACCAACTCCCACGAGCACGCAGAATAATCTCTTTGGCCAGAGTGCAGCCACAAGCACAACACCCTTTGCCTTTGGAGGATCAGCACCAGCAGCCGCAGGAAATAAGGATAACAAGCCGATGTTTGCATTTGGAGGAGCAGGAGGAGGAGACAGCAATGCGGCGGCCAAACCCACTCCGGTGTTCAGCTTTGGTGGCGCGGACAAGAGTGCTCCTCCTGCCTTTGGCAGCGTAGCAACATCGGCATCATCTGCAACAGCAACGCCTACAAGCAACGCCTTTGGATTCGGCGCAGCACAGAAGCCTTCGACACCCATGTTTGGCAGCGGTTCTACCCAACAGTCCGCCGCCCCTGCTGCAACAGCCACTAAACCATTTACATTTGGTGGTGGTGCCCAACAGGCCACTGCACCCTCAGCTTCCCCAGCTTCAGGAGGATTTTCATTTGCCGCCGTTGGTGCCAAAAGTACAGCGGAACCCACTGGAACGAATGTGTTCGGCAGCCCCGCCAACGCCAGCAAGCCGAGCTTTAACTTTGGAGGAAGCACCGTCAATCAGGCAGGAGCAGCGCCGTCACCAGCAGGTGGCTTCTCTTTTTCAACAGCGACCAGCAAGAAGGAGGAGCCGGCCGGCAACAATATGTTCGGAAGCCCCAACACTGGAATAGTTAAACCCAATTTCAGTTTTTCAAGCAACAATTCGAGCACTCAACCAGCAGCTTCAGCGCCCAGCTTTGGAGGATTCGGAGCTCCAGCGGCAGGAGCAACAGCTGCGCCCAGCAACCAGAACAAACCCTTTGCATTTGGAGGAAGCCAAGCCACGGCACCTGCTCCCAACGCAGCTCCAATGGGCGGCAACCTCTTCGCCAATGCGGTGGCTGCTACCCACAACCAACCGAAGCCGGGCGCCTTCTCTTTCGGTGGCGCGGCCAAGAGCACCGCCAGCGCCACGGCCGGAAATGCGCCCTTCTCGTTTGGCGGTGCAGCTGCCGGCGGCATCGCCTCGCCGCCCAGCAATCAGGGCATGAATACCGCAAAGCCCTTTAGCTTTGGTGGTGTCGGCGGCAATCCAGCGCCCAATGTCTTCGGGAGTCCAGCACCTGCGCCGGCGGCTAGCAATCCGGCCGGAGCCTTCAGTTTCGGTGGCGCCAGTCCGGCCCAGCAGGCGAACGCCGGAAACATGTTCGTCCCACCGCCCAGCACGCCGGAGAGTCGACCCATTCGCAAGGCCACCAGGCGGCTGCAAAAATAGGTCCGCGTCCCAAGTTAATGTGTAGACTATTATTGTTTTGTTAGTTCAATTATTGTTTTTTATACCAGGCAGTAAATGGATTAAAAGAAGTCGTTGGCAATCCGAATTGTAATATATAAATATCCATCGACTCTGGTTCGTTCTGTGAAATGTAATTGTCAGACTTTTGAACGGATTGTCACTAAAGAAAACTAGACTTAAAATCGTATCATCTAAAAATATATTAAGATCAATAAAAACATCCATATTATTGAAAACAATATAAAACCTGCTAATTATGAACATTAAAGCTTGAACCCTGAAGTGTTCATTTTGAATTTGAAATGCGTCTTTAATTCGTGGGCCATGATGAACTAAAAAATAAACGCTACATCCATTTAATGCTTGTATTCTTTACTTTTATTAAAAGTTTTAGAACTCTCTGCATTCGTTTAATCACCTCGTTTAAGTTTTGTGTATTGGTGCAAATTGTGTTGCTTTCTCCAGGGTTTCGCTAGCATAGAACTTTCTTTTACAATATTGATTGATGTGTGTTTTAAAAAAATAATAACTTTAAAATTAATTAAATGTATGCCATGTGGACGTGTGTTTGTGTGATTGTGAGGGGGTGTTGTGTATTAGGTGTGTGTGTTTTACATAAAGTATACTAAAATTAAGTGTTAAAGCAAGGTGGCTGCCGCTTGATCGGAAATTAAAAAGCATAAATGTACAAGTTTCTTAGGAGAACATTAAAATAAGCATTAGGTATTAAGTAAATTACGGGGTATGTATTAAAAAATAAATTACAATTTTCCTTTGCCTTTCCGCTAGCTGCATCGGTTCGATTAGAGTACAGAGAAGGAGATTCCTTTTTTAGAAGAATGGACCGAATAATGAACAAATCCACGAACTTTGCGCGTAATAATTTATATTTGTATAATATTATTAATCGATTCATATGCTAAATACGTAGTTAATGTGTATTGTATTATATGTAGAAGTTTAATGTAATGCATATTTTCACAAGTGTTTTTCTTTCTTTTTTCTTTTGAGTTTAAGGACACGCGACCGCAGCCGCCTTCGTTAATTTTTTGCTTAGGTTTCGCTTGCTCATTTTGCATAATTTTTGCTTTCTTTTCTTTATTTTTTGATTTTTAATACAAATAAATGTAACTAAATTTAACTAATTCTCAGCGTGATCTCTTTTCCAACGACTTGTTGGACAAGTTCTTTGTGGTCATCTCTCAGTTTTGTGCTACAAACAGAAACGGTTAACATAAGGAGTACGGAACTCGAATAAAACTCGGCGTTTCTACGATTTCAAAGGGAAACATTCTATAAACAATTGCTTTAGACAGGCTCCCCCAACGGAGGAGGCGCTCATATGTATGCGTATTCTATAAACATAAAGATACAGACGTGGTACAGACGAATCCAGAAGTTAAATGTTACAGTGGAGTCCGAACCAAGGTGTTAACTAATAAATAGCTACAGTTACAGTGTACACATAACATAATATTGTGGTAGTTAAAGGTAGTAGTAGGTAGGCTACGCAGCTGCTCCTCCTCATCCTTCTCCGTAGTCCGTTCGGTTGGTTATTAATTAATTTGATGTCGGAAGCTGGCGCAACTCACTAACATTGCTTGATTGTGTTGGGTTCCTTCTTCGCTTAGGCTTACAAAACTTACTCCATAAATTATATATGTAAATAAATTGTTGTAAAGTAGTTATATATATTCATGTATGTATATAATCGTACGAAAAATTGTTGCGTTCAGTGTCGTCGGTGTCATGTCAGTTGTTTCAGCTTTGGATCTGGCGCATTTCTGGCAGGGATTGGCTCTGCCCTTGGCTATTCTTCCGTTGATGATGATGACAGCTGGTCTCTGAACAATCCGCTTTAGTTCTTCCCTATCGCACTGGCGTCAATCCCTAGGTGTCTCCTCACGCCGTGGCATTGTTCAGCAGCTGCAGCTTGACCTTGAGCTCCGCGAATGTGGGTCGCTTGGCGGGATTCAGGTCCCAGGCCTGGCGCATCATCTCGTAGATCTCCGGTGGACAGCCCTCGGGCGCTTCCATCTTATAGCCCACCTCCACGTGCTTTACCACATCGGCTAATGGCTGTAAATGGTAAGGTAATAGTTAGTCACACTTCTTAGCTGCAAACTCTGATCGGCACTTACAATTCTGGGATAAGGCACGCGTCCAAAGGAGTAGATTTCCCACAGCAGTATGCCAAAGCTCCACATGTCGGATTTGTTGGAAAAGCGCTAAAAGGGCGAGAGACAAACGTTATTTATTATTATTTATTATTTTGGCTTCCTAACGCTACAAGTTGTATAACTTATAAATTACTTCGCTAGTCACAACAGATAATCAATTTTATATTTGAACAAAATGGGTTCTTAAATCTAATGACATACATTTTTACATAAATTATTGAATATACAGAATGACAAATGTAATTAAATCGAATTAAAAAACAAAAGAAAGGAAGAGGTTTTCGGGATAAGTCGCAATGTTTAGATAACATAATTTGAGGCGCAAGAGTTTTCTCTGTCTTTAAACTCACCCCATTTTTGAGAGCCTCGGGAGCCGTCCATTTGATGGGCAGCTTGCCAACGTCCAGATTGTAGCATTCCTCGCGTGCCAAACCGAAATCCGATACCTTGGCCACACAGTCCTCCGAGATGAGAACATTGCGGGCCGCCAGATCGCGATGCACAACCTTTTTGGCTTCCAGATACTCCATTCCAGAGGCAGTGTCGCTAATTGGGGGAATTAATTGGTTAAATGCGACTTCAAAATGGGAGATCTTTATCTTACTAGGCAAAAATGATTTGATCCTTTTTGGTTATGTGCTGTCGTCCGCGCGATCGCAGGTAATCAACCAGTGATCCCTTGCTCATGTACTCCGTAACCAGATACAGATGCTTGCTGGTGAAGACCAGGCCGATGAACTTGACCAAATTGTCGTGCTCCAGTGTGCTGAAAAAGAGTTTCGAGTTTAGAAAGATAGAAACAAAGGAAAGAATCAGGTAATAACTCACGTCATGACCGAGGCCTCGGCCAGAAACTTTTGCACGGCACCCTCATCCTTCAGCATCTTGACGGCCACCTTCTCGTTGCGTAATATGCCCAGCATCACGTCCCCGAACTCGCCCTTGCCGATGCTCTCGCGCAGCTGCAGCTCCGCCTCAGGGATCACCCAGCCCTTGTCCACGAAATCTTTGGAGTTAATGCAGAACTCTTGTTTGCCCAGCTTGGGCAAGCACTTGATCAGCTGGGTGCACAGCCCATCCGCATCAGCCTCGTAGTGCTGCAGGGATAATAATATATAATATATATAATAAAATATATATCATAAAATAACTTACCGCCACCAGCTGCCCCAGATTCTCAAAGTACTCCTCGTCATCAATGGTCAGCTTGTTCTCCAGGTACTTGACCCGATAGTGCTCCACCTTGGACTGGAAGCAAACGCAGAGCGTATAGTCGCCGGGGAAGTTAGTGGACTCGCGCACCAGGAACAATCCGTCCTCACGGGGCTGGAGCAGATGCTCGGCCTCGTCCCGCGTTATGCTGCCATGGAACCACCTGAAAAAGAGAAGGAGGAGAAACATTATTTCAGCTCCTGATGGATGCTCTACTGTTGATAAACTTACGGCATGGCGTTCAGCTTGACCTCGCACCTGGAGCGACCCTGCTGCTGCTGCGGTGCCATCGCTGTGGGCGAGAGGGAGGCGTGATTCATGGCCGTGGTGGAGCCACTGGACCACGCACTGCTCGCATTCACCCCGCTGGCAACGGCGCCCCCGTTGATGTCGAAGCTGTGCAGCGAGGTGGACATGCCCGCCGTTCCGCTGCCACCGGTGACCACCGCCGTCGGCTGCTGCTGCTGGGATGCCTGCGTCTGCTGGGTGGCTGTGTGCAGCAGCATATTGCTGCCGTGCTGGCTTCCACTCAGCGCCAGACTCTTTGGCGGCAGCGCCCGCTCCGAGCCGTGCAAGGCCATTTGGGCCGCATTCAGCGAGGAGGACATCAGACCCGATCCACCGGACGTACAGTTGGCCAGCAGCTGGAGGTGCTGCTGCTGCTGCTGCTGGGCAACGGCGGCCACTGCGGCGGCGGTACCGGCCACAGCCTGGGATCCCGCCGGCTGCTGAACGGACTGGACAGTGGGGGCGGGCGCAAACGTGGAGAGGATGCTGTGGGACGCCTGTTGCTGCTGCAGTTGGCTCGTCGTCTGTTGCTGTTGTTGCTGCTGCTGCGTCTGGCTGGGGGACTTGGGCGAATGATTGCTGGCGCTGCTGATTAAATTATGACTATTAAGCGCATGCGATGACAAATGCAATGCGGCTGCCGCGCCCGCCTGGCTGGGATGCTAAAAAAAAAGCAGAAAAGGAGAGCAATGTCAGTAGAGCAATTTAATAAACGTGAATTATTTATACACGGAAGAAAAAAATTTACAAAAGATCGGGTTAATTTAAAATTTTTTTAAGGATCAAATAATTTATATCATTTTTTCAGTTATTCATATCATTTTGATATTCTACTTTTATATATTTGTTCATAAAATACTAAATTTGGTATTTTAAAACAGTATTTTTATAACTTTTATGAAATGAAAAAATATCAAAATGATATGTTTGAATCATAAATTTTACATTGATTTGATATCAGCTTTTATTGATATCAAATAAGGTAGAAATGACCCTATTTCATATAGAATATTTTTCTGTCTACATACCACATTGTTCTCGCGATGGTGGTGGTGGTGCGGCGGTATGCTGGGCGGCACAATGTGCGGCTGCGACTGGCTGAGCTGCTGCTGGTGGAGCAGTACCGCCCCAACGGCCGAATTGGCCGAGGGTCCACTGGCTACCGCTCCCAGAACCGCATTCGGCTGGGGGGCAGGACGCTTGTTGTGCCGCAGCGGAGCGGTGGGCGGCATCTGGTGGCCGGTGGTCTGCAGGAACCATGGATCGCCGGCTGTACTGCCCGTCGCCGCTGCAGCGGCCACCGTCACCGAGGGCTGCGAGAATCCGCGATGGTGTCCAACGACCGTGGTTTGTCCGTTCTGCGTGGCGGTCGCGTGGCTGTTCATAGCTGTTCTCACCGGTCCCTGCTTGATCTCAACGGTGATCAGATCACCCTCGCCGGACGCCTTCCTCGAGAGGGGTTCCTTCTCCTTCTCCTTAACCTTCTCGTTCTCGTTCTCCTCCCGTTTCTGCTTGGGCTTCTGCTGGCTCTTCACCGGGCTGGTCTCCCTGGTTAAGGCTTCCTCGTCTGCAAAAAAACAAACCAAAATGAATTAGAACATTTCTCTTATCAACTGATGATGTTATTTGCTGATATAATGAGGCCAACCAAAAGCATCTAATCTTATCACAACTTTGCACCACACATATTGACAATGTTATCTACATTAATTATATTATTTATTCCATGGCAATCAGCTGGTCAAATATGTAACTTATTTTATGGCCACAAATCTCACACAATTATCGAATGGATTGGATAGAGTATTGCAAACTCTTTTCGTTATTTTAAATACTTAATTTTGACATATCTTTGTTATTCTAATGACTGACAACATTATCTATAGAATTTGTATATCATGTTTCTATTTTATAGCAAATTTCTAAGAGCAATCTTATCCATTATAATATCATAGAATATTTTACTCGCATTCCCCATTGATCTTGGCCAGATTCCAATATATGAACTTCACAGTTTCAATATCTCATTCCCAGATATATATATATGCATTCATAGATCGAGCTTTACTTTCCGCATAGCCCAGCCCAAGCTGCTTTCGTGATCGCTTGGCCTCCAAACGCACGTTTATTTAATCAGTCAGTCAAGTCAGTAGTCTGTCCACAAATAGCTGCGATTGCATAAGCGAGACTTTGGATGCGCAATGATAATTGTTGGTCAACACACTCCAAACTCAGTGACTCAAATGGACACAAATGGCATGTTAATCGGGTGAACCGAGCGAATCCACTCGCCAAATGTAAAGCATTTGCATGTGACGGGCATAATTAAACCCGGTTTATTGCGCACTTTTTAGGGTTGTTGGCTACTGTTTCCCTGGACACGAATTTGGGATTCGGGATGAGTCAGTTTTATATCGCTTTTTAACTTCCCACAAATCTTTACACAAAAAAAAATAGAATGTATATATTTTTAAAAGAATTTTTAAATAAAATTCTCACATTTTAAAAACTTAGACCAAAACTTCATAACAGTAATAAACCCGTTAAACGAATTTTTCATTATAATTCTTTTATAATTTCTAATAATTTATTTCCAGTGTCAGGGCCAATCCCCAAAAATGCTACATGTTCTGCCAATCTGCCAACCTTTTCCCCTAATCTCTGTAGAATTTACATTACCTACTTGTAATTGCGCTGTTTTAGGCAGTGAAGCCTCTTCCAGCGGCTTAATTTCTTAATTTTATGCAAATTTCATTAGCGAATCTCGCTCGCTTGGCGGAAACGCGTTTTGCATATTAAATTCTCATTCTGGGACGTGAATTTATCGTGGGAGTGAGTGAAGTCGAGGCGTGGGCATTGTTTAAATAGCGACAGGTTGGCAGATGAGGCGGCGGATGAGGAGGTTGATTTAAATTTGGAGGAGGAGGCACGCGCAGGTCAGTTTACCGCTCTGGAAGGCCCGAGACCTTGCCCGTAAATTATTTGAAGTCACATCCGCCATTCGCAACGACCTGAAGTTTTGGTTATCGGGCTAAATTGGTTTAGCATGACTGTTCGAATGCGAGAATCCGTTCGGGAATTGCATTCAGTCACAGTCATCGCTATTCGTCAGCGGCTTCCTGCTTACCGGAGTCGGAGCTTTGAAGTCACACCCGCAGACAATAGTCTTTATATTTGTGTACTCGCCGCCGCTTATTGTTTCAATTGTTCGACCACAATGCGAAATTTAGTGCTGCTCTGTGAAATATAAATCGAACCTGAGAGCTTTGCATAATTTTGCAAAAGGGAAAAAATGACAAATCTCGTTTTTCAATTAAAAAAATATATTCCATAAACAATACTGTACGCTTGACAACTAGCAATCAAATTTCGACATTTGAGAAAAACCAACTAGAACTAAAGATTTTTATTTCTAGACCATAAACCTATTTACGGACACTTAAAGTCAAAATTCAGCTGAACGAATTATTTTTGAATGACTTTTCAAAGACAAATGTTTTAAATCATAAACCTTAAAGCGCCAATCTGTTCCGTAAATATTTAAAAATAGCTGTTATTTATTTGTTATTCACAGTAGTACGATAATTGTATTTATTTTCGAAAGCCTGATTAAAGCACGAGGACTTCCGTTGCTCCGTTTTCGACCTTGACTCCGAAAGAACCATAAATTTCTGGAACTGAGCCATTCTTATCCCACACAACTCCCCAGAGAGTGAGTCAGAGGAAGAAATAAATAATTGTAAGTGCGGGAAGGCAAGCATGATATAGTAAACCGAATATTCTATACCCTCGCTTAAATAATAAAAATAATATGAAAGTTTTGAATATATAAAAACAAATGCAGTAAGTAAGTGAATCACTTAAAAAACTATTACTAACCTCTGTTAGAATTTGGGATATCAATCATAGCTTTACAAAACAATACCCTCGCTGGCTGAGTGTAAACACAAAGTATTGACTGCTAAGTGCCGCGCATAATCTTATGTAAAGCCAATGCCCACTCGAGCTGTCATCGCCGGGAGTGAGTCGACTCGGAGAAGCCTTTGATTAGTCAACGCGGTGACAGGCCAATTACTGAATATAAGTATTCCCCCGCACCTGTCGATGTTTACATCTACAACTTTGCATGTGCGTGCTAGGTAAAATCCACTAGGTATCGACAGGTGTTGCCACACACACCTGTGGCTCCGGCAAGATAAATGCCGAGTGTAAATAGTGAACAGAAAAATATCGCTGTTCTTGCAAAACCCCAAACAAAATCACCACAAATAATTAATATTTTTTTTTAATTGTAGTTCGCAACGAATTGTAGAAGCGAGTCGAGCATAAACTACCTTTGGAATTCGTAAACAAAAAGGTAAATAAAAGATGAGAGGTGAAACACGCTCCTCAAATATAAATCAACAGCTCACAAACAAATAAAAAATGAAAAACAATGCCTGGCAGATGAACATGAAAATGGAGATTTGTGTATTGCTGAAATATTTAAAATATAATAATCATAAAAAATGCACAAAGTTAAAATTAACGACAGCGATCTGCCGGACATGAGTGCAATAAGCGCTTCCAAAGGTTTGAAAGGCATACAAAAAAAGTGCAAACAATAAAATTGAATGATTCATTGGCAATTGGCAGTTCAACGCACACATCGTATGGGTACGTATACTTTTGCAATGCACTGTGGACTGGTTGTGGGTGTTGAGCAAAAGTCAAATGAAATGCGCAGTAATCCGACTGTCCCGATGAGGTAATACTAATTAGACAAAGCAACGAAAATGCACTGCGCAAAATGTGTCAAAAAAATTGGGATTTAAATATTTGGTTTAAAATTATTTCCCTTATAAATAGGAAATCCTTAAAAATAGTTTATGCTTTTAAATTAAATCTTTACAAATTTCCCACTTGTTTTCGAGCTCCATTTAATCTGCTGCACTCTAATGGATTTATTCTCTTTACACTAATTCCGCCGTTGAAAGCTAAAGACTCTCGCTTGGAATCTAGTAGTTAATGCCCAACTATTTTATTTAATCCCCCTGAACAACCGAGTTAGCTAATGAAAGCTCTGACTGCCAGCAGTTTTAGTTCTGGCTGACAGCCCGACGATTCCACCCTTGGGCTCCAAGACTCAAGATGAACTTGTGTGTGAGTGATGAGTGAGCAGGAGATTGGGGAAGAGAAAACAGTTCAACACCTTTGGAGCTAACAAGCACACATATGTGAGAATCTTTTGTATAGCTTCCTTATTGTTTGAGTTACTGCACACACACTCCACAAAAATAACAAGGGAAAATTTAGCTCTGCAACTAGAATTTCAAATACACTGTTTAAAATATAGTATAAGTTAGAAAAGAGAAAATAAATGATATAAAAACACTATATAAAATGTTTTCACAATAATCATTGAATTTTATAGCCGAATTAAAACACACCGAAAAGAAAATGCAGTAGATAAATTATAAGGAAAATTTTAAGGTTTTTTTCCACCTGCGCCTTGCCAATTTCTGTGAATAATGGCACTACCCCATGGCGCGGTATTAACATAAACAAATACATGTACATATATATAGAGCAACTATAGCGGAGGTACGGGGACCAAGTTTCCGACACTCTCACACTCTTTTTTTTTGTAAGGGGGCTGCAAAGACAGGTAAATATACACACAGCAGACAATCATTCCTGCACAAAGTCAGTCAACAGTTGCCGGCGGTTCCTGGGCCATTGTGTTGCCTTTGCCACCGGTTGGAAAGTGCAGGCCGAAAGAAAGGTAACCTTAGTCAGTCAGTCAGTCAGTGGCTGGCTTTCGGGCCCAAAAGGTAGGGAAAATGGGGGAGAAAAGCCATGAATGGAACGCGAGGCGCTCATGAATGGCGTGTGATGGTTGGTTTTCGCCGGTGCTCAGAAATTTGCATATCGCATGCGAGGCGACGAGCGGCAGGAAAACCGCAAGCAGGAAGAAGGAAGACTACACCTGGGCAAAAACACAGAGGTACATGGATCTGCTAATTACACGGTTAGCTGCCTCATGTGGTTGACCCTGAGTGTGCAGTTGGATGAGGTGCTGCTCGTTTGGTTGGGTGGCCCATTCTGCGGCCGTAGATCCCTTCTCCTTCTCCAAATCTCTGCGGGTCTTAGACACTGGACACCGCTAACGCAGCGGAGCTGGGCTCTTTTGCCAGTTATTGCCCAACGGTTAGACCATAATCCAATACCCCGGCCCAATGTCAGCGAGCGGAAAGAGAATTTGGACGCTTGGAGGGGCTTGAAACCCAATCTGCGGACCGTTTGCAACACCAGCCGCAACAATTGGGAGCAGGGCTGACTGATGGAGATATGAATTTGAAGGGTTTGCACAGAACTTATTTCGTGTACTTAGAGTAAACCCTTTAACTAAATTATTTAAACTAATTAATAAAGAATGCCAACTATAAGGGGATAATATTAAGGACTACTTTTTGACTACTTATTGTCCAAAGCCCTGTAGTTTTTTTTTGCGATTAAATTTTTTTAATTGCCCTTCTAAGGTCCGTTTTTTTTGTCCGTAACATACGGACAAATTAATATTGAAATTTTACTTTTAAACTGGTTTTTTACATTTTAATATTTATCTCCCAATATCTTAGCTAGTTTTATAATTTCATGAAAGTGCACAGATAAATATATATATACTATAAAATAATTTTTTTAAATCTTATCATTTACTAACCGAACCACTCCTCCGAGCTGGCGATGGGCGGAAGAGAGCGAGACGTCTGTTGTCCGTTTTTCTTTGTCCGCTCCCGGGAATTTCCCAAGGATTTGTCTTTGGTCTGTTGGAGCTCCGATTTGGTTTTGGCCGCCTGGAACTTGCGGTGGGCGCAGCGCAGGAAGTTCAGCAGACGGGCATCGATGGGCGGGGAGGATTCGTTTTTGGCAGATGTCGCGGATGATGGGGAAGGTGTAGTCGGCGTACTCCTCCCCGGATTTGGGGCATACTTGTCGCAAAAGTAGAACTCGCGTCGGCGAGGAGGTGCGTAGGCGGCACTCAGGCTACTGCAAAGAAGGATGGGTTTGCGACGAGCCCGGGAGATCACCTGGCCACCAGTGTGGGTGGCGTGGGCCTCCTTGTGGGTCACACTGCTGGCACTGCGCGATAATCCCAATCCCAATGCCGATCCCGAGATTGTTCCCCCGGCAGAAGCCGCCTCTCTGCTCTGCTTGCACCAGTAGATGTCCTTGGTGCCAAAGTAGTAGCGCCTCCTAGTGTCGTGTCCTGATCCTCCTCCTCCTCCCGATCCTCGATGACTCCGGCCCACCGATCGATTCGATCGCTTGCCGGCACTCGATGCCGTCTGACTGCCACTGCTCGTCTGCGAATTATCGCTTTCGTTGTTCGAATTTCCTGGAGATGAAGATGCAGATGCTGAGGCGGATTTTAGTTCTCGTTCCGAGGATGAGGAACCTGCTGCACCTGCTCCGCTGGGAGGAGGCGAGGGCATAAGGTACGAGTTGGACTGGATGAAGACGCCATCGCAGGTTATCTTAATTGTGGTCACCATGTTCCCGCATTGCGTTCACTTTTGATTCGTTTTTATTTGGCACTAGCCTAAGATTTAATTTGGATGGCTCAAATGACCCTTGTTTAACTTATTTAAGAAAATGTTCTTAACTTCTTGAACCAGATTTTCCCTTTAAAAGTAGTTTTTGATTTGTTATTTGTGCCACATTGGAAGGTCAATTACCATCTATCTAATTTCCAATTTCAATATGATTTTCTTTTTGTCCCAGTGAAAACAGGAGATAGTTCTAATGGCTTTGTTAGCGCACAGTAGCAAACCAAGTACAAACAGCAAAAACCCCATCCCAACCGTAGAACTGAAATCGAGGCTAATGCCCAGTCTTTTCTGGACAAAGGCCGGCAAATTGTTTTCGTTGGTAATAATACTAATTAAGGTTCTGTAAGCGCTTCGATTTGCCATCGTCCAGCAGCATCGAGGTAGTCACAATGGACATGGACAACTGGGCGGAATCAATAGTGAAGCGACCGGGGCAGATAATGGATAGCAAAAAAAAAAAGCGCAAATGGGAAATTTCTAAAGAGAAAATTCAAGCTAAAAAAACAAAGACAAGTGGAATAAAAGCCAGGCCTGGAAAGATAGAAAAACAGAGTAAAAACCAGAGGTAGCTCGGCAGAAATTGACTTCATTGCGAGTAAATCATGGTACTCCACCAAATAATAATCACAACTCTTTGGCTTCTATAGGTATGTTTTTCTATTTTTTCTTTCATTTTTTTTTGGCATTCCTCGGCAAGTCAATTCGCCACATTAACGGTTTGTCAGCGGCTTACTGAAATAGTCGACAATGGCTTTGAGTGCTCCACAAACAGCTGAAAACGCTGGCTGGGCCAAAAAATCAGTTGCCATACCATGTTGCCTTATTTCTCTGGGTTGGGAAAACACGAACCAGTCGCCCGCCTGAATTGAATTGGAATTTACTGGAGCTCTGGCTACATATTGTGCAAATAATTTGGGCGTGGGAACCACGCAGTCGACGTCGACAGAGGAGCGAGCAGAGAGAGCTATTGTCTATTCCTGGGCAGGTGGCAAATGTTGGGAAAGTTGCTTTAGTTAGTTGTGAGGGAAGAAGATATATGTGCCCCGATAATGGGATAGAGTTGTAAGCAAGTTGTTAATTACTGGGAAATTTATGGAGATCGTTTATAAGACAGGTTTCGTTATATAGTTAGCCTCTGAACTTTTAACAAGTATTTTAGCTATAAAGATTAATTTAATAAATCTTAAAATAAATCTAAAATATCTTATTTGCGATCCCCCACAACTCTCACTCGATCTTCACTTTCTTTGGCGTCTTGAGAACTTTCCTGGGCAAATGTCAACCCACAATCAACTATGCAAATGAGCCAGAATTGGGCACGTGGAAAGTGATTGCTTATCATGACCCACAAAGGAACCTGAGTCAAATGAAATTCTCCGCACGAAAAGTGGGAAAAGCGTTCGGTCGGCTGAAGACGAAGAAGAAGCGCACCCAAAAGACACAAAAAACTAATTAAATAAAACAATAACAATAACAGAATTATGTATGACACAACGAGTTTCTGTCGCTGCTTTTTCTGACGAAATGCAAAATGAAAAGCAAGAGGCACAAGAGTCAAATCAAAATAAAAGCCAAAAATCCAAGCCGTTGAGTGAAACAAAGTGGGCAATAAGCGAAGAGAAAAGCTAAAAACAATGGGCCGAGTTTTTTTCTGTTTTTGTGGGCCTGGTCGAAATGCGTAAGCTAGCTGGTCCGGATATCCTCGGAACGGTCGGGTCTTTCAGCTGCGATTGGATCGCTTCAGTTCGGTTCGCTTTTGATCGCCGGCGGCTGGAGTACCTGTTGCATATATCATTTTGGCAAGCAGTCAGTAGTGAAAGTTTCTCAATATACCCTGCCCCCAAACGGTAAGTTTAACATTGAAAGACCAAGTTAAACCCGAATGGAAGGCAATTTAGCTGAAGACCAAGAGCATTTAGCATTCGCTATTGTTTCTAACCATTCCGGGGCTTAATTAATATCTCAAGTTTTACAATTATTTTAACGTGCCAGGCACGCATTAAAAGAAAATGAAGAGAGTCCGAACCGAGAAATGAAAAATGAAATGCGCCATTGGCTTTGTAGTGTTAAGAGCGATCAGGGGGGAGGGGGCACATCTTTTGGCCAGTTGGAGGGTTAAGCTCGTCTTCACTTGTGTGTGCAGTGAATGGCAAATTGAATAAGTGGATGGAAAACACATAAAAGCCGTGTACAGAGCCAAGAAAAACATAAAAAATTGTTTCACGCGTCTGCAGTTGAAGTTTAAGTTTTTTTCTCTCTATAGTTTTTTTTTTGTTTTTTGTCCACTTTCACTCGGGATCCAGCCAGCTTGGAGATACAAATTTCAGCCGAGAGTCGAATTCGAATTCGCTCAGGATGACGTTCGGCGGATTAGTTTCCCATTGAGAGAGCGCTGGCGAAAACTAGTTACAGTTTAAGGCCCCGGTTTTTTAAGTTTTTTGTTTTTTGGCCGATTAGAGCGGCGCGATGACTAATGCGCTGGAAAATTGAAAATGCCTAGACACGCCATCCAGCCTACAATGTTTTTCTGTATTTTCTGCATTTGCTGTCTTTTTTTTCCGGTTTTTATTTTGTCAAAGTCGAATGTCTGCACGTCGCCAAAATTAGCGTGCAAATCGATTGTGCAGAGGGTTTAGGCAGAGTGATTCATGCAATTTGGGGATCAGCTGCGGTCCGTAGTTGCATCTGGGATCTGGGATCGGGGGGATCGGATTAAAATGTGCAGTTAGAGAGCGAGAAGAATGGAAGAATAAGCGAAGAAATTGCAGTAATGGTAGCCCCAGGCTGGGGGAATTCAATTCACGGCGACCTGAGAAAACAATTAGCACTCTGTGATTGAAGTTGGCCCGGGGAAAAGCATCCATGGCCATTGGGGAGGAGGCTGGAGAGGAGTTAACATGTTGCCACTCAAGGCACTTTCGTTTCAGACTTTCAAACAATCAAATATGCAGCGACGCGCGATCGTCTTCATCAGTTGCACACGAAAAAAATACACAATTTGGCAAACAACTTGGTGTAAAATTGAATTGCTAAATACTGTGTTTTCGCATGGTTTTAGAAAGGTAGTTAGTGAAGTTTCAACTTATGGAAAACCCTATAAAGTTCAAAAACTATCGATTAAACAAGTCCTCTACATTAAAGCATTTTTATTTAATTTTTTAAAATTTTTTTATTGTAATTTAAATTTATTTTGAATATTTAAAAATATTTTTTTTAATGTAATCATTGATTTAATCGTACTTTAACAACCCTAAATAAACTTCGATTTCTTCTGTGCATGCCTTGGGCAATATTGAATTAACCACGGGCACATTCAAACACTGATTGCTACTAATGTCCGATACATCTGACCAAAACCCATAATTAAGCGGACATCCCCAACATGGCAAACAAATCAAAAGCCAAGCAGCACACAAAGGTCATTGCGCCATCAGAGTCAAGTCTCGAAAAATAATATTTATTATATGCTTGATTCAACAGATATTCAACGCTCAAATGGAATCAAATCCATCAAGTGGAAGCCAAAGGAAGCTCATCTCTGCCCGCTTTTTGTTTCACTTTCTTCGCACTTTGTTCATAATTTGCATAAATCACTTCCTTGGGGCGCCCACCGAATGCCGAAAAATGCAAACAATTATTCGCGCTTGTATAATTAATTATTACAATGGCGAGATATCAACAATTCGAATTCGCGCCGTTACATCACGATCCTCTGCCTTTTGTGTTGCACCGAACGGATTATCAAAAGGCCACTTTGCATACCGTCATAATTTATTGTTATTATATATTGCAAAGAGCCAATTGCAATCGATTGGATTGAATTCAATTGGTTGGCCAATTCGCACACACGCGATGATGAGCTGCGCATGCGTGGCGAGCGGTTTTATTATTTTCCTTCGTTTTTTTTTTTTAATTTAAACGCGACCGCGCGCTTTGCCTGCAAGTTTTCAACTGAAAACCGCTGCACGAAGTTGCCGCCGAGACTGAGTCACGATAAATAAAAAAAAAAACGGTGAGAGAGGGAGCGCTCTTGCCAAGCTTTGATTTTCTTCGTGTTTGTGAGCCGGCTTCTTCTCTTTATCGGCCAAATAAAATAGCATGCGATAAAAACCAGTCGCTCGCATGCGATCGCCCACCTGCCGCTGCACTTTTCCGCCACCGTTTCGGCTTTGCCTTCACAAAGCTCCGCGCCAGTGTAAATAAAATCAAAACATGTGTTGCCCAACTCATTAGGCCAATTTTGGCGTTTCCAGTCTTTGCTGCGGTCTCGCTTTTGGCCAAAAGTAAGTCAAACTGCGGTCGCCAATTTTTACACGGAAAAATTAGTTAAATTAAATTAAAAGTATTTAATAATTTAGAAAAAGTTAGCAGTTATAATAAATAATAATTTATTATTTTTTGTACAAAACTCTACAAAATCCTGTAAGTTATTAACATATTTATTTTTAAACAATTTTGTAATTTTTTATAGTTGTTTTCCAAGAGACTTTCTTCTAGTTTTTCTGTCATTTATTTTTTTTGTGGTAAATGGATCTATGAAAACCTTCGTGGGCAATATTTGTTAAAAAATTTGATGAGGTATAAAGTATATTTTAAAATATTTAACTGATATTTAAATATAACAGTGAAATTGTAACTTTTAAAAAGACTATTTATATATTTTTTTTGATATCTTGACATTCAATGCTTTCAATTTTGTGTTGTTTAATCACGTATTATAAGTTAGAAATGTATACAAAATTTAAGTGCATAATAGTTAGATGTCTATGTTTTAAAAATTTGAGGTATAAAGTATATTTTAAAATATTTAACTGATATTTAAATATAACAGTGAAATTGTAACTTTTAAAAAGACTATTTATATATTTTTTTTGATATCTTGACATTCAATGCTTTCAATTTTGTGTTGTTTAATCACGTATTATAAGTTAGAAATGTATACAAAATTTAAGTGCATAATAGTTAGATGTCTAACTAATTTTAACTAAAATTGTCTGCAGTGCAGTTTGTGACATCGGAGATTCAAGCCCAATGCGATCACAGTTTGAAAAACACACATCCAGTAACATTGGAGCTTTGTGGCTTGGATCGATTTCCTTTCTGTTTCGTTTATTTGGTCTAATTGCCGCCGCTGGCCATGTTAATTAATTCCCCCATTATTGGTTCCCCAGTATCCCTCTCCCCGCCCCCTTTATCTCTCTTTCTTTTTCTCCACGACTTGTATGGCAAATAGTTTTCCTTTTGCATGTTTACTTTTCGTCTCCATTTCCAGGCAATTTGTTGCCGCTGTCGAATCAGTTGTTTGCAAAAATGTAGACATCAAAATGTTTATTGTTTCTTTTGCGTCCAGCGTTTGCAGTTGCAGTTGCACAGTTCGTGATTTTCTTCGATTTTTCTCTTTTGCATTTTTTGCATATTTGCAGAGCAATTAGCATCAAAGTGAAGTCGGAACTGTGCATAGAGAAAACCAGCGGGAGATTTTCTGACGTCACCAGTTCTCCCAGCCAATTCGCCTTGCGAATCCGAACAGCAAGTAGATCAAAGCGAGGGATATGTGCTAAAAATACCCGCAAAGCAACATAAACAAACAAACGGGAACAGAAGAAGCTTAAATATGCAAAGAAATTGTGGACCGCGCAAAATAAAACGAGAGCAGTAATAAGTTAAGGAATGTCAAACACAAAAATGTATATCCAACCGTTCCAGATAAAGAACATATTTATGCCGACAAACCTTGTTTCCTCTGTTTTTAATGGTCGCCAGAATTATATAAATAAGATAAGGGGAACCGAAAATACATTTTTTAAAATTTTAAAGGCCCACATTTTTAAGGAAAAGTATTTTTTAAGCAAATGTGTGAATTTTGTTTTAATTCCGAAGATTTAAGTATTGGATAAGATATTTGGCAATAAGTCAAAAATACACATAAGGTGGTCTATAAACCCATTTCATATATTTTTGTATAACCACACCTAAACACCTTTTTTCAGTGAAATTACAAAAATAATTGGATGAAATAAAACTTTATATATAGATATAGATATAAAGAATAATTGCATTTGTGGACCCATTGGGAATCCCTATTCACCTGCCCAACCCTAGAAATAATGTTTTATTGCCAATCGGACAAATTAAAATTGCAAATTCCAATTAGCATTCCAATCAGTCCGAAGTACAGTGGTCATGCAAAGGCGTAATTAGCGCAAGTGAAAATGGCAGATATATTCGTACGTAATAAGCGCAATAAAGGGAATATTGAACAGTGGGCGCCAAAAGTTAGTCACTCACTCCGAATGCGAAAAGTTCACGCAACACTGACCCCTCACACGCACAGGCTAGCGTACTCACTCACACAGTTACGCTGATGGAGTATAACGCCCACGCATGTTGCAATATACAAACAAACAAACCGACAAACAGAGAGATACAGAGAGGGGGTGGCGGTGGGGGGAGCTTTGTGGCGCCTACGTGTGACGTCAGCGACCGAAAATTTTTGCCGACGACGCAGAAACTGACCGAAAGACAACAACAAAAACAACAACAACACAGGGAGCATTTACTATACGAACGGAAACCCATAACAAAAACTACGATGCGCCACGCTTCGGTTATTGCCTTTAATTACTACTGTGGTTGTCGTTTTTGTTGTACGCATCGGTCATTCATGGCCCGATTGTTGGCTATATATGTTTGTACTTTTATATATGGAGCTTTGTGTGTGTATGTTTGTTATTCAAAAAACCTCCACAACAACAACAAATTTCGCGCCGCAAAGTTGTAAAACGTGTTTCTGTTTTCGCTTTGATTGGAACCAAAATGCGTAGTTTTTGTGTTTTTTCTTATTATGATTTTTTTGTTTGTGATTTTGCTTTCGTTTTGGAGCCCAACTAGTTGACCTCAGACAACAGCGTTAAAATACAAATATAAAGAAGCTGCAAATAGTTGACCCAAAAATAGGCAAAAACTTATACAGTGTGCACTGTGTTGGGTGAACTTTAGTAATTAAAAAGTAAGTTTAAGAAAATTATTTTGTTTTCAACTTTTTTCCCTTTTTTTGTAAATGTGGTTCACTGTATCTAGTGTGCACTGTATGCTTTCACGGGTATTTATTTTTGTTGTTGTTAATTTCATTTGCATTTTGACTTATCATCTTAATGAGGAGGCAAAGTTTTATGCAATATTTGTTTTTCATTGCTGGAATTGAGCAAAGTTACATATTTGCAGAGAGTTAATTTCGATACTTTTTTATTTGCCGAGTTGCGTTATCCTTTTCTCGCAAGCTCTCGTCACTTTCACACCCACACACGCACGCACACACACAAGGACAAGTGTATTAAGGAAGCAGACAGCGCGACGCTGCAAAAAAAAGGGCGTTGGGCGGAGTCCTTAAAACGGGCTCAAAAACAAGTAGCCCCGAAAAATGGAAGCTCCGAAAACCATATGGCTTACCCGATTTTCGATGATGATGACGTTTTTTCTGGATTGGATTTCAGCTATAGTTGTTGTTATTATTTGTTGGTCTGTTTGGCTTTGTTTTTATTGTTGTTGTTGTCGCTCCTCCTCGTTAGCATTCCAATCCGACGCTGCTGCGCTGCCGACGTCGCTGCTCACTGCGCTGGCTGTGCTGGCGCTTCAAGCCATCAGCGACATGCACATTTCATTTGAATTATCACGCATATGTAATAAGGTGTATCTCGATATATATTTATAAACATTTGCACCACCTTTCCGATCCGATCCGATATGGGGAATATAAATACACACAGACACTTGCACAAGCACTCTCACGCACACACACACCTGGCTGCTGGTTTTGTGGAATTTTCGACTCTGTTCTCCGTGTTTTCGGCCCTTTTCCGTTGATGCTGATGCATTGCCGCACTTGCATCCGCCTCAGTTCATCCCACGCATGGCGCTCCAATGTAATTCGATTGCTGAAACAGTTCGCAGCACGGGCGATTTTAATTTAAACAAAAAAATTCACACGAGAGCAGAGCGGCCATCTTGCGTCAGTGTTGTTCAACCTTTTTTTGGCTGGCCTGTGGTGTGACCAGTCGGCGGTAGTGCGGGAATGTTCGGGTGTGCAGTTTTGGCTATTTTCTAGCCAAATTCTAATTTCAAAAATGGAATGCCATTTTCGAAATTTAGTGTTAAGCTTTCCAGTATTATTTATTCTTTTCTTCTTCAAATATTTATTAACCTTACAATAAAATATATTTATTATTGCCATGCAATCTTTTAATTAAAAATTATTAGTTAAAATTATAAAATAAATAGTTAGGCTACATGTTTACTCTGATTATTATTTTAAAACAAACTTTCTTTATAAAACAGCTGACAAACAGCTGATGGTGCAACGGTAAAGATAGCTTAACGAATATCCCTACCACAAGTTATTTACCGGAATCTGCAAAAGCTGTGGTCACACCGATCCACACGTGCAATATTTACGAAATATGCGCAATCTGAAGCTGCAATATTGCAAGGAGCTGGATGCAGTGGCTCAGCCCCGGCAGCTGCTCCTGCAGCCGGAACTGAACGGCGACACCGCGGACACATCCTTCGTGGTGGCCGACAACAAGGTCTACGCCGTCCAGGAGTCGGGAGATGTGCGATCAAGAGTCATTGCCGATTTGCCGGACATTGTGGGTGTGGAGTTCCTGCAGCTGGACAATGCGATCTGCGTGGCCAGCGGAGCAGGCGAGGTGCTCCTGGTTGATCCCCAGACGGGTGCCACCAAGGGAGAGGGAACCTACTGCGATGTGGGCATCGAGTGCATGGCGTGGTCGCCCAATCAGGAAGTGGTGGCCTTCGTTACCCGCGCCCACAATGTGGTACTCATGACCAGCACCTTTGACGTGATCGCCGAGGAGCCGCTGGACGCGGAACTGGCGCCGGATCAACAGTTCGTCAACGTGGGATGGGGAAAGAAAGAGACGCAGTTCCATGGAACGGAGGGAAAACAGGCTGCCAAGCAGACTGGACTGGATTCCATCGACAACCAGGCGAGCGAGGAGCTTAAACAAGTAAAATAACATCTAAGGTATCCTTATAGCACTCAAAATAATCTTTCCCAATCCCCCACAGGATGTCAACATTTCCTGGCGCGGCGATGGAGCCTTCTTTGTGGTCTCCTATGTGGCTGCCCAGCTGGGTCGCACCTTCAAGGTGTACGACTGCGAGGGAAAACTCCATCACACAGCCGAAAAGAGTGGCAATCTAAAGGAGGTGGTGGCCTGGCGACCATCGGGCAATTGGATTGCCGTTCCCCAACGATTCCCCAACAAGTCCACCATTGCTCTCTTCGAGAAGAACGGCTTGAGGCATCGCGAGCTAGTGCTTCCCTTCGATCTCCAGGAGGAACCGGTGGTGCAGCTGCGCTGGAGCGAGGATTCCGATATACTGGCCATTAGGACAGCCACCGAGAAGGAGCAGCGCGTATATCTGTATACAATCGGCAACTATCACTGGTACTTGAAGCAGGTGTTGATTTTCGATCACACGGATTCGCTGGCTCTGCTCCACTGGGACACGCGGATAGGAGCCGAGCACATGCTGCATATACTCAAGGAAAGCGGCAAGAGATTGATCTACAGCTGGGCCTTCAGCGTGGATCGCTACGAACGTAGTGGCGTCGTGGGCGTCATCGATGGCAAGCGACTGCTGCTCACCGACTTCGCCAGGGCTGTGGTGCCACCGCCCATGTGCCAGCGCGTCCTTCAGTTGGACAACTACATCAACGCCTTCACCTGGTACGAGACCAGTCTGTGTGTCTACACCTGCGATCGTAGGATGTATTCCTATGAACCCATGCAGCAGTTAAGTGGACAGGAACCACACTCCTGCCTACTTATGCCGGATGCAGAACTTTCCCGCTTGCCGCTGGCCAATCTCACCTACTTTTCGTGTGATTACCTGCTGGCCACGCACAGCTCAGGAGGATCCACACGGCTGCTACTGCTGAACAAGGAGGCCGATGAGGATGAGGTGAATGAGCAGGGAGAGCTCTGCTATCGCGTGCAGAGTTCCCTGCGGATCAGCGGGCTGGTGAACGCTGTGACCATTGGAGCCAACGCCATGGACGAGTTTTATGTGCAGACTGTGAACAATGGTCACACCTACGAGGTGTCCCTCAAGTCGGACAACACGCTCAAGGTGGAGCGGACTCATGTGCAGTTGTCCCAGCCGGCTGACCAGATTGAGTGGTTCACCATCACCAGCGACTCCACAGGTAGTTAGCTCCTAAGTAGTAAAGGATTTATAATTTATAAGATATTTCTTCTCCCCAGGCGGTCTCATCACCCTTCGCAATCAGCAACTGCTCCACATGGACGGCTATCGCATTGCCGAGGACGTCACTTCCTTCTGCGTGGTGGGCAACTATCTGGCCTACACCCAGCTGAATGCGATGCACTTCGTGCGACTAAAGGATCGTCGCCAGGTGGCGAGCAGGAATATCGAACGCGGTGGCAAGCTGGTAACGGCTGTGGCCAGTGAGGCACGTGTGGTGCTGCAACTTCCGCGCGGCAACCTAGAGGCCATTTGCCCGCGTGTGCTCGTCCTGGAGTTGGTGGGAGCTCTGCTCGGAAGGAAGCAATACCAGGCGGCCATGCAGATGTTGCGCAAACAACGTCTCAACCTTAACATCATCTGCGACCACAATGTGGAGCAGTTCGTGGCCTCGGTCGATGTCTTCCTGCGCGAGATCAAGCAGAGTCAGTGGCTCTGCCTGTTCCTGAGTGAGTTGCAGAACGAGGACTTTGCCAAGGGCATGTACTCGAGCAACTATGAGGCGGCCAAGCAGACCTATCCCTCGGATTACAGAGTGGAGGAGAAGGTGGAGTACGTGTGCCGACTGCTGGTACAGCGCATGGATCAGGCCACTCGTCCGGAGGATGTGGAGCGCTTCCGTCTGCCTGTCATCACTGCCTACGTAAAGTTGGGCCGCTTGGAACAGGCCCTCCAGCTGATTTGGCGCGAGAAGCAGGCGGATGCGGCTCTGGCAGATCAGCTACTGAAATATCTGCTCTACCTAGTGGACGTCAACGATCTGTATAACGTGGCCCTGGGCACCTACGACTTTGGACTCGTTCTGTTCGTGGCTCAAAAGTCACAGAAGGATCCCAAGGAGTTTCTGCCCTATCTTAACGAACTGAAGGCTTTGCCCGCCGACTACCGCAAGTTCCGCATCGATGATCATCTGAAGAAGCACGCCTCTGCGCTGTCACATCTTGCTGCTTGTGGAGAGGAGCACTACGAGGAGGCCCTGGAGTTTATCCGAAAGCATGGCCTGTACACAGCTGGCTTGGCCTACTATCGGGAGCACCTGGAGTTCCACAAGAGCATCTGCGTGGCGTATGCGGATTATCTTAGAGCCAATGCCAAGCTGGATAACGCGAGTCTCATGTACGAGCGAGGCGGACAGCTGCAGCAGGCCCTTCTGAGCGCCAAGCACACTCTCGACTGGCAACGTGTACTGGTGCTGGCCAAAAAGCTGGGTGAACCGCTGGATCAGGTGGCCCAGTCGTTGGTGGGGCCACTGCAACAGCAGGGCCGTCACATGGAAGCCTATGAGCTGGTAAAGGAGCACAGCGGGGATCGGGAGCGACAGTTGGAAGTGCTGCTGGAGGGTCATCTCTACAGCAGAGCCATTTACGAGGCGGGTTTGGAGGAGGGAGATGTGTTGAGTAAGTATTTTTATATATTAAGATTGATTCATTTCCTAACTACTGTATTACTTTTAGTGGAGAAAATCACGCCAGCCTTGCTAGCCTATGGTGCTCAACTACAAAACTCCCTGCACGCCGACCTGCAGCTCTTCCTGGAGTACAAGCAGCGTCTGTCGGACATCCGCCAGAGACAGGCCAAATATGGCGAGGGGGATAACGATGCGGATGTGGACCTGGAGGAGGTGGACTTGCTGTCGGACACCACCAGCCTGCACTCCTCGCGATACAGCGGCACCTCACGAGGCACCGGGTAAGCCAAGGAATGCTTCACTGCACCCGCCCGGCCAGAGTTTCACTTTTCCGCTGTGTGTTCCTCCTTTTGCAGCAAGACATTCCGCTCGAGCAAAAACCGACGCAAGCACGAACGCAAGCTCCTAAGTTTGAAGCCGGGCAACCCCTTCGAAGACATCGCGCTCATCGATGCGCTGCACAACCTCGTCACGAAGATAGCCCAACAGCAGCAGCCTGTGCGTGACACATGCAAAGCGCTGCTGCAGCTCGCCAGCGCGGCGGATGCAGATCCCCTGGCAGCGGCACTGCAGCGTGAATTAAAGACTCTGCTGCGAGCGGTGGAGGCGGCGCTGGACGAGATCTGGACGCCCGAACTGGTGGGCAATGGATCGATGGCGCAGCACCTCACGGGACCCAATGTCGACTATCTGGCGCTGCAGAAGGAGCAGCGATACGCTTTGATAAGTGGGTGTTTTATGATGATATAACTCTATCAATTTAAGTAATTCCGTTAAAATTGTATTCTAAATCATTGTGATTTCTTCATCGACTTATGTATATGCCGAATTCTTTAATTTTATTTATTTTATCTCTAAAATAAGATAATGTAAAATTGTCTAGACCCCTTAAATCTAATGTGAATATTTTATTTTCCAGGTCCTCTGAAGCGCTTCAAGCCCCAACTAAATCTGATGGACTGGCAGCACGAGATCCTCCAGTGAGTCATCGCTGCGATCGTTGGATTTGCGTGCAGCTCTCATCCTCCTCCCATACCATTGTTTACTTTCACTGCTCTGGAAATAAATGTAGCATTGAAATGCTAATTGAATGTATCGAGATTAAGCAAAACGGAGCACAGTGGGCAGATTAGTGCCAGTCCAGTGTCAGGCAGCTGGCAAAAGTGGGCGGCTCATCTCCCAAATTCTTGTTTGATTCAAAGCTATCACTTTTATTAGGGGGCGTCGGCTCATACTTATCATTTACACTAGGCTACGCCCTTTATATTCAGATTTCTGAACGAAAACATATTTCCTGATAACTTCCTGTTGCCGTTGCAGTCAAGCGTTTTGTTTGGCAAACAAAAACCGTAGACGGCTGGAACCGGTTTCACCTGTCCGGGATTTGTTGTGGGCGCCCATTGTTGCCAGGTAGACGTGACGAGAACATTGGGGCGAAAACGTACTTAGAAGAATGGAATCCTTTGCAGCTTGAATCAGACCGTAAATAATATTTTTTTTATTTAAAAAATAATATTTAAACCAATTATTAAAATTTACTTAATTTCTCCATACAAATTAGGATCTTTTTTGCAAAATAAATATACAAAAAAATCCATATAACTTTTAAAAGTAATTACTTACATTTTAAAAACATTATTTTTTAGATTGGATTATAGTTTTTTTTTTGTGTTAACTCAAAATTACTGCCCATCGAATAAGAAAAGAAAGTCAGACAATTTTTTAAATTTAAGAATTTTGAAATATTGGTGCTAACATTATTTAACATTTAATATTAACATAGAACTTAACTAAGTGGGGGGTTAACAGTGCCCGAGAGTTGAATCCCCAACAGTGGGGTAAAACAAGAGCGAGAGATCGAGAGAGAGAGAGCGAACCTTAAGCAACAGCACCAGTTCAAACAGTGGGCTACAGCTAAAATTTTATTCGAAAAAAAACCGCCGAACGAGTCGGACGTGTACCGCTGTACCGCTGGATGCTGGAGTTCCGTTTTTTCCGTCTTTTCGAGTAAATAAACACACAATTTTTGTGTTAATAACACATTTTTTGTCTGTTCTATTGTGCGGAAATCGAGTGAGTGAGAGGGGAAATAAACAGAAACCGCAAGCAAAAATCAACAAAAGCGTGTGGGAAGAGGAAAACGAAAATGAGTGTGTGCGAGTGAAATATGGAAATTGAAAATGCAATTAATCGCGGATTAATGGCAAGCCATAGAAATCGCTTAATGGCTTAAAGTGCAAGAGAAAAGTGTTATTGTTGTCAACGCGGAAGCTCGAAGCCAAAAGTCTGGCGTAACAAAATCTACGTGTATTTATTGTTTTCGTTTTCGCAACAACAATAAGCCATTAAGCTGAGTGCTGAAATAGTCAATTTACAATTGGAGCTGCCGAGAAGTCTATATATAAAATATAAACATTTTGGTAAGTCTAGCTTAAGTCTCTTTCGCGCTCGCCGCTCTCTACACAGAAAGAAATATAACGGTCGGTTCGGTAAATTTAAATTGACATCCCTTTTGGTTGTAGATTTTAGAACTTAGTTATGATTTAGAGAAAATCTCAAAGCAATTTTTAACAAGCTAAAGTATATAAACAATGAAATTCGTAGGCATTAGTGAGGCCTTTAAATGTAAATATTTTTTTCTGTGCACTTTCCGCTGAGAGTGGAGAGCTCAACACAGTGGTCAAACCCGCAAAACGACTTTCAACATCATTTCATTCGTCTCCCCGTTGTTGTTGCTCTTTTTGGTTGTTGCTGTTGTAGTCTGTTTTTCTACTTCTGAGTTGCTGCTGTTTTTTATTTAATTACGCTATTGTTATAATCATATTTGGTTTTTGTGCGCACTTACTTAATTTTCGCACATGTGGAAACTCTGGCAATTATTGTATTAAATATGCCATAATATTTGTCCACTGTGAAACGTGGAACATTTCGCGAACAATTGTTTCTCAGTCGTTAAATAATAAAATATTTTTTAATTAACAATTTTCACTTTTGGCATTAGGTAAAACAATGTACTTTTTTACATTTTAGGGTGAACTCGTTAGAATCAGTTTCTGTCATGTCTTTCTTATTGTCAATAAATTGTCGTTAAACTATTTTGTAGAGCGATAATATTGTAGTTTACTTTGTATTTGTAATGTACTTTGTAGAGAAGCGATTATGGTAATGGTTTAAAAATAGAATTGAGCACTAAATGTAACAATGTTTCAGTTCTAAAATGTAAATCTAGGAAGAGATTTTGTTATGAACAGCCAAAGTCGTTATTTATTTATGGAGAAGTCTGAACTTAATGGTAACTTTTATTATGATTAAAAAAAACAGTTGTTAGGTAAATGAAACAATAAAAAATATAATTTCTGTTACCCAACATTTTGTGAGTTAAAAAATCAATTTAGCACGTTCGCCCCTGCAGTTTGGCTATAAAAACAGCACTTATTAACGGTCCGCATCAATGCCAAATGCATAACTCCCAAGAAACTCGGTTTTCAATCTTCTCGCCACCTGCAAATCTGCAGCAGACTCCAGCGATGCGTTAACGAGAGACCTCAAAGCTAAGCGATCCATTCAAGTAGCTTTAGAATAATCCCAATCCCATCTCATTCACCATCGAAAGCAGCCGGCGAAGGTCGCAGACAGCAATTTAATTAGAGGTTAGTTAGCCAAAGACGCCGCAGAGCTAACAATTGTTGCGACTACAGATTGCAGATGGCAGCTAGCAAGTTGCAAGTTGCAGGTTGAAACCACAGAACAAATGCGATGGCAAAAGACGTTGTGAATGCATTATGTATGTGCGAACGGGCAGCATAAATCGCAGGGTAATGGGCAGGGTAATGGGCAGGGTAATGGGCCTGGGCTAATAAAGAAGCGTTTTGAATGCCAAATGAGTCGACTCGACGAGGATGACGAAACATAAGTGAATTTAAAGCGAAGGAGGGGCAGTGCATAAAGTGCACAGAGAAAAATAGTGCGATAAGTGCACATAAACTTTAAAACAAATCGAACTTATTAAGATCAAAATGACATTAATAACAACATAAGAAATGGGTCTACATATTTCTTTTAAATTTTTTAAATATATAAATAATATGCAATTTTATATATTATTTTTGTTTTCTGTGTAACTTCCATGGAATGCGGTTGGCAAGAATCGGGGAAACCGGTCTCCTGCCGGTGCCCTATTGGATTGGCTTGGCTTGGCCCGAGCTGATAGCGAAGGTCTCGAGGTCTTCGACAGAGACGGAACGAAAGAGAGCCAGTGGAGATCGGTCTATGAGTCACGTTCGGAGCCAGCTTCGAGACGTGCCTGCTGGTCTTTGGCGGGATGGCAATTGAGAATAGAGAATGGAGTAACTCGGCACCCAGTGCATAGTTATGCCGACATTGCGATAATGAAAATCTTAGAAAACGAAGCGAATTCCGATTGCCGGAGGAAATCCTCTTCTCGTTTATTTCTGGCACGTACCTGTGGGATCTGACCCCGCTCTTATCACCTGCGGTTCTATTGCTAATAAATATTTTAAGATGCCTTGATCATGAGTACTCAAACAGCTTTATGAATGGGATGCTGAAATTTCCAAAGCCATGTATGGTAAAAAAATATCAAATTAATAGTGGGGGTTCTCCGAGTGAGTGATGTTCATAAATATAACATAAATAAACATATGAATTTATAATTTATTTTTAGAACTTATTCAAGTAGTGAACGTGCTAGTATTTGAGTTTCTTGAAATTAATAATAGATTATATTGAAAGAGTTTCCTTTGTTCTATATTCGGATAATGTTTATAAAAACTCTGACTCTGACCCAACATCACTGAGAAGTTTGAGTCCATACAAGACATCTCAGGTCTGACCATCCGCTTGGGTTCTCGGTCCACTTTCTCGCTCTTGTCCCCAATGCATCTCACTTCTTGCCGAGTGGTAATTACCCACCTTGATGACTCGAAATCTGTCATTAAGGCAAAACTGCAGTTCAGTAGGTAACACACATATGGATCCCAACCCCTCGGCCGCCCATGAACCGCCTCCTCTTCCGTCTTCCGCCTTTTCCACAAGAAAAACAAAACGGAGAGAATCCGACAAACAACTTGCCCTGTAAACTCAGAGACCTGACCTATGAGCTTTGTCTTTAGCATTCGCATTCTCCGTTCGGCTTTGTTTCTTTGTTGGTTTCTTCCATTGTTTCGACGTTTATCTCGCTTTTGGGGGCAACAGTTTTGCTTCGATTTGTGCGGTTTTATTTTTGGACCCACCTTGGAAACTTGTTCTGGCAATCGGAGAATGGAAAATGCTTAGAGTGTTCACAACAAACATAATATAAATTACATTACTTAGGACCAATATACTGTTGTAGCCTCGATTCCCTGCTGTGGGCGTCGAATTAAATTACTCAATTGAAAAGTCTTTGACTCTCGGCATTATTCTTCACTTTTCACCCACTCTTCCGACTTGAGCCGGCTTAATTAAATTAAAACTTTAATTGTTTTGTTGACAGGTAGACAACAAGTCAATGAACCAAGTCTCACATTTTGTGGAAACTCTAGAAAAGGTATGGGTTTTGATCAGGTGGCCTTTTTCCCTGGACCAAATGATACATATATCTATAGATAGTTTTTTGTTCATCTCTCTCTCTCTTTCGCTATCGCCATTGTAATATTAATTCAATTCTAGACACTTGCCGGGTGAACAATCGCCAAACACTTGGGCACTGATTGAACTTAATTGAATTAAGAGCAGTTTGCCAGTTACATCTTCACTTGGGTCAGGCGTACAGGAAGTCAACCTTGTGTGAGGTGTTACAGGGCTCTCTAAATAGAGTATCTTAAAATTCCATAAATATATTGAATTATTATTTACATTTGCTATTATAACTCTTTAAATGTAAACAATAAATATATTATAATATTAGTTATTAAATAAACTCTTTGTAAAGAGTGTTATTATATCTACCTACCTATAATATTTCTGATCAGCCCCTGTCACTCGTAAAACCTGGCAATTTATAGAGTAGCTCAAGGCAGCCTGTGAACTAGTTTCGCTTGCTTTTCATACGACTCGAAAGCCATTTAGTTGACTTCGGGCTTCTTTTGGCATTTCCGCCACATAACCACAGATGTTGCCTCAAATGGGAGCATATGTGTGTTATTTATGCGCTGTTCTACCACCTTATGCATTCTTAATACCGCCTTCGTTATTGTTTTTGTTTACCTTTCGGGCCTGAAAATGTGCTTGCCAGTGCAATGCATTCGCCGTTTGTTTACGCTACTTACGTATCCGAAAGATACACAACTCGAGTGCCATATTTCATCATTTGGATGCCTAGGGCATCTTTCGAGTGCATTTCGTATGCAAGGAGGGTCCCCATCATTCAACTGCTTTGCATACCAAATACCACAAATGTTTAACCTTTTTGCTGCAATTTAGCGAATGATTTCTGGGGTTTTTCTGGGCATTACTTGTTTCCATAGCACTTGGCCTTTGGGCTTGTTCTCCACACAAATTCTCGCTAAAGAAAACCTGTTTCTCGGATTCTTTGTGCTTGGGTCCGGTTAGCAGCGCAATCTTTTTGACGTACTTTGTTTTATGAAATGCTAATGAATTTATGTGGATTCGATTATACGCGACTTCACCATCAATTTACACTTGGCAAACGACGCAACTAATACAATTATTGAACATTTTTTCTTATTATTGCGCACTTATGATTGTGGGGTATGGGAAATGTTAACGCCCTTCAATATGAAGCGGTTCCATAATCTCCTGTCTGCCCTTCAAATCCCTGTCTGAATTCCTGGTTAACAGGGCCGTGTTAATAAAATATCCCCACAGACCTTGAACCCGCGGTGTTTGAAATAAATATTGCACACTGTCTTCAATTAGCACGCAGCTTGGCAATGGGAGATTCGCGTGTTCAGTCGAGGAAACCCCGAAGAAGCGTTGACCCAAAAATATGGAAGGTAAAATCCCCCATATTTAATAATTTTTTGTGAGGTTGAATGTGTGTAAAAAAGAAAGAAATATATCATTATCAAAATCTGAATTTTTATACCCTTGTAGAGGGTATTATAATTTCAGTCAGATGTTTGCAACGCAGTGAAGGAGACGTTTCCGACCACATAAAGTATATATATTCTTGATCAGCACCAATAGCCGAGTCTATCTAGCCATGTCCGTCTGTCCGTCTGTCCGTCTGTCCGTCTGTCCGTTTCTATGCGAACTAGTCTCTCAGTTTTAAAGCTATCGCGATGAAACTTTCCCGAAGGTCTTCTTTCTATTGCAGGTAGTACATATGTCGGAGCCAGCCGGATCGGACCACTATATCTTAAGGCTCCCAAACAAATATAAGAAAATTCATTGTAACTTTGTAGGAAGTAGGCGTTTTGATTCTTGACTACTTAAAAACAAAATTGAAATAAATCGA